ATGGCCAGCCCATGAATTTCAACTTCTACGAATTCGTGATTTAGCCACCAACCAATGTCATCGATGGAATACCTCACCTCGCACACTTGACTAGATAGAACTCACTGGTCACGAATTCTCACTAGAAGTCCAGGAAACTCCATCCTGTAGGCAGTCACCAGCGAGAATCAGATTAATTTTCAACAGTTGATTTGTGACGACTAGATTTGCTTTTTACGAGTTTGATCACGGATTCGAACATCAGTTTGCTATTCAGTTTCTCTCAAGAATGAACTGTGCACGTTTTACGGGTTGATCACGGATTGATATCATTTAGAGAACCATTGAAAACCAACCAGGGAGTACTGGACAGTTGCTGTTTCATCAGCCTAGTTTGGGAATCATCGTCAGTACGCACCCACCACGAGGGTTCTAGCCCACGACCTTCCGGTTAGAAGAAAAGCTGGCTCGTATATCATTCAGCCACTGGGACCCGATTCAATGGCTCGCTAGTGACTTGCTACAGGTTGGAGTTTCCTGATTTCTAGTGAGAAGTCGTGACCAGTGAGGTCCAATTAGATGTCACGTGTGCGGATGGATATCTTACCAACGACAATGGTTGGGGTCATGCTAAATCACGAGTTGGTGGAAGTTAGAATTCATGAAGTGGCCATTGAATCGGGTCCCAGTGGCTGAATGATATACGAGCCAGCTTTACTTCTAACCGGAAGGTCGTGGGCTAGAACCCTCGTGGTGGGTGCGTACTGACGATGATTCCCAAACTAGGCTGATGAAACAGCAGCTGTCCAGTACTCCCTGGTTGGTTTTCAATGGTTCTCTAACTGATATCAATCCGTGATCAACCCGTAAAACATAACTAATCCTTACAAACCAAGCTATAGAACTGTGTACGTCTCATTTAAGTACAATGAATGTACCATCAATATATCTTAGACGTATTTTAGTATTGTGAGTGTATGTAATATTGTATGGAGGATTTCACCATGAGCTGACATCAGTTAGAGAACCACTGGAAAACCTGGGAGTACTGGACATCTGTTTCGTCTTAGTTTGGGACTCTTCATCAGTACGCACCCACCACCCGAGGTTGGAACCGAGGACCTTCTGGTTACATGGCGACCTCGTAGACCATTGAGCTATTGGGACCCGATCTCTATAAATTTGATGTTTCATTAACTTTCGAGTTTATTCAAATTCCACTGTGTAAATCAGAGTATCCAATTACATTGTCATAAATACTTAAAATATGGAAAAAGATTCTTATTTTTATTGTTCATTTTCCATCTTTCCTCTAAATGTCTTCATGTAATTTTATACTCTTCAATACTATAAATTAAACCAGTGTCTATCATAATAAATATTTGTTTGTTTAAATAATATATTAAAGACCCAATATCACTATGACACTGGCATCATTAAACACACAAAATTAATTATCTATTTAGTTAACCAATTAAAACTTAGTCATACTTTAGTTCCATGCTTTAAAGCATATCCAATAACTGGTTTCAGTCAGTCTATAGAATGGTAACCATGGTGTGAATAAGCAGCAATCAACTTGAACGCATATCATCCATTGGATTACATAACCTACTGCGTATGAGACAGCCAATATGAACTGAATTGTGTGACACACACACACACACACTGATGTTCTAATTTCATTCTGATCTCGCTTATATGTAAGTACTGTTTGGAAAATGGGTCAGTTGAGGTTTGTATTAATCAGGTTTAGGGTCTGAATAGATAAATGGGAGAAGAGTGTCTCTTTATTCATAGAGACGACACTAGTTCGATAGCAATGAAACATGAAAATGGATACCCCCTTCATCGTAATTCATCTGTATATTTTTCTATCATGTCAGTGTTGTAAAAATATTATCTTCCACGTTTTTTATTACTATAATTATTATTGTTACGTTAATTTTTCTGTTAAATGAACGACTTTTGATGTACTTTTGATACACTGACAGGGTTTTGTAATCCAATGAATGAGGTTTTCATGCGGTCAAGTTCATTTCTGCGCATTCATACTTCATGTTTGTTAGTATATCTTCAAAAGGGTAATTAAAACAAAATATTTTCAAGTATTGGTTTTTTAGGGATTTTTGTTTGATTGTATGGAGGATTTCACCATGATCTGACATCAGTTAGAGAACCACTGGAAAACCTGGGACTACTGGGCAGCTGTTTCGTCCTACTTTGGGACTCTTCAACACTACGCAACCACCGAAGAGTCTTAAAGTAGGACGAAACAGCTGCCCAGTACTCCCAGGTTTTCCAGTGGTTCTCTAACTGATGTCAGCTCATGGTGAAATCCTCCATACAATCAAACAAATTCCCTAGAAAACCAATACTTGAAAATTAATCTGATGCTCACTAGTGACTGGCCCTATTCAGGCAGTCTACCTGGGGTCCTAGTGGGAAGCCGTGACCAGTAGGGTACAGCAGGTCGAAGATGGGGCAGTACCTCATCGAGGAAGACATTGCGAGGTGGTTGCGCTATGTCGTGAATTGGAAGAAGTTAGAATTCAAGGACCATTGTGTCGGGTCCCAGTGGCTCAATGGTCTACGAGGTTGCTTGCCTTGTAACCGGAAGGTCCTGGGTTCAAACCACGGTTGGTGTGTCCTGGTGAAGAGTCTCAATCTAGGACGAAACAGCTGTCCAGTTCTCCCAGGTTTTCCAGTGGTTCTCTAACTGATGTCAGCTCATGGTGAAATCCTCCATACAATAAAACAAAATAGAAATTCTGTTCAACTTTGATTAATGGTAACAACCGGAAAGATGTTAGAATTTATTTAGCGCTACACACAGGAAATTGAGAAGTTCATTCAGAAATATATTCTTATAAACACTTTAAGCAAGAGAGAGAGAGAGAGAGAGAGATTGAACACATAAATGGCAGTGCATTTAATACAAGTGATCTGCAACACTCCTTCCTGATGCCTCTCTCTCCCCTCTTTCCTTCCTTCTTCTATGTTGTAATAAAAATACCTAATAATAATAATCAGAATAACCATAAAATCTGATCAGCACATAAAAACGTTTCTTATTTTATTGCTTATATCAATACTCATTTTGTATATTCACTTCTTTCCTGTAAATGATTTATTTCCTCAAGAATTCTCTCTCCTCTTAGCTTTTATAATTGAAATATAAACCCTTTATCAAAAGACAGTTTGAATGAAAAAGGTACCTTTTAAATCAAAATTCTCCTCTTCAGGTTCTCGAAATTATTAAATATGGTTATAATAATAGTCATAAACATGAAATCGAGATGATTCAGTAAAATGGTCATTGAAGTGTTGGTTTATAGCGATTTAATTGATTGGTTACAGGATTTCATTATGAGCTGACATTAGTTAGAGAACCATTGGAAAACCACCTGGGAGTACTGGACAAACATGGGGAACCAAGAAACACTGGATAGTTGTTTTTATTTCATGATGTAATCTACATTAACATCTGAGTGTCTGTAGTTTACCAGTAGCTATAAAATAGATGTCCTGAAGTTCTGTAAGATGTTGTAGTCAGAATTTCCACAATATCGGGTTGGAACGCGTGCCACATTGCAAATTTACAGACGCGATTGGTTAAATTCCATCTCCTTGGGAACAGTTGTTCAACGCTCTTTGGTTTCCATGATTCTATGCCTGGTTTCGATTCGTGATGAGATTTAAACTGAAACTTAGAACTTGCTATTAGAAGTCAACATATCATTCAAGCGTTTTCCAACATATTAGACTTCAGAAACAACTTGAAATATGTCTTTCCAGCCTACATAAACATTCTGAAATGCAGACTTTCCTGATCATTATGGAATACACTCAACTTTGTATCTTATTCTGCACGCAGGTGATTAACAATACAACTACAGGATAAGGAGATGTACATTTCAGTTCATCTCATATTTTGTGGTAATATTTAGGTTTCAGTAGGCAAGGAGTAAGGGGTGGTCAACATCTAGGCTTCTTCTTCTTCACTTACTAAAATTACTGTTTCAGAGACAAGAACAGTTCGAATGTTTCAATGGGTGGAAGTAACACGGACTGTTGCCCACTGTTGTTGTCCTTTCCCTCTCCTTCTATACAATAGGTAACATCATGAGCTGACACTGGTTAGAGAACCATCGGAATGCCTTGGAGTACTGGATATCTGTTTCCTCCTAGTTTGGGACTCTTCAGCAGTACGCACCCACCGAGATTCCAACCCAAGACCTTCTGGTTACAAGGCGAGCTCGTAAATCATTAAACCACTTGGACTCGATCCAATGGCGCATGAATTCTAACTTCTGCCAATTCATAACATAGCGCGACCCCTAGCTAATGTTTTCGGCAAGTATTTGTCCTCACACCCGAACCGTAGGGTGCAGCATGTCGGGTATGAAAAGATATTGGCTAGGGGTCATGAATTGGCAGAAGTTAGAATTCATGCATTGGCCATTGAATCGGGTCCTACTGGCTTAATGATTTACAAGCTCGTCTTGTAATCAGAAGGTCCTCGGTTAAAACCGTGGTTGGTGGTGAGTGTGTACTGCCGATTATTCCTAAACTAGGCGGATGAAACATCTGTCCAGTACTCCGTGCTGTTTTTCAACAGTTCTCTAACTGATATCAATCCGTGATCAACTCGTGGGAAACAAAACTAATCCTGACAAATCAACTATAGAAGATCATATTTCAGATATGATAGACAGACTTAAGCAGACAGCATTACATGTTGATGATTATTCTCTAGTGATCCATTACAGATACGCTATACTGGTGAGTGGTAGTAAGTAGATGACATAGGACCATGTCTTCTCACCTATGAATGACCTTCTCAGTGAACGGTATGTCATTTATATACCTAATAAGTGATATATTGTAACGTGATCAAAATTAGAATTAATAGGGAATTAGAAAAAAAAACACAACTTCTATTTACTTTATATTACAATTTTTAAATATAATAAGAAACTAAGGAGATGACAGGCGATTACAGCATGTGAAACTGTTAATTAATTGTAAGTAATCCAATGGGGATTAATCAATCGTGGTTCATTTGAATTAGTTGTAATCATTGCAATTAATTGTTTCTCTTGTGTGAATTCTAATTCCATTATATCATCTAGACAACAAACGTGACCAATGAGACAATCGGTGACTGTGTCCAAATCCACTTGCCAAATTGATACTTGTGCACGTCGAATACTTCCACTGGCTGAAATCACCTTGGTACCATCATGAGATACTTGTAGAATTGGTGGAAAGTCTTGTGAAAATTCTAAACGTTCACTATGCGTTAAGCGTATTGGATTATTGACTTTACATGGACACCATAAAATAATCCCATAGTCAAGCCTTGCTCCAACAACTACACAATTCACTCCACTAATACCCACTTGGATTAAATTCGACTGATTAGAGAGACGTTTTCGATTCCATTGTACACCGCCGCCTTCTTCTTTCCCCTCTGGTTGTATTAGATTACATGGATCATGGAAATTGATGAGTGACCAGACTGTAAGACAGGTGCTTTGTTCCACTGGACTAAATTCCGAATGCACTAACCAACACCCATCATAGGATATAGCAGAGACAATTAGATTTGGTGCATCTGACAGATGTTCCAGATTATTTTGACAGGCGGTCTGCGTCTGCATGGCGTATGCTTCATCCAAATTACCTACATGTTGTAGTTTACTGAGAAGAAATACACAAGCACACTCTAAGCCATAACTTGCCACCATAATACTTTTATTACCACTGAACAAAAACTTCTCAATGGTGGTATTATTCAAGAAAGAAGCAGCTTCTTTTGAATTATTCAACTCACTGACTACACGTGAACCTGCTCTACTATTATTATATTCTTGATAAACTGTGAAATCTGGTTTCAATCTCCACATAATCTGACCATTTGTTAAACTGTAGGCTACAAAATGAGATCTGGTTTCATTTAAACCGATTAGATAAGATGTTCCATCGCTATCAATAGGTTCAAGTATTGTATATTCAGTAACTTCACTTGGTATAATGAAAACGTCAGATAAGTGTCGACGGTGTTGAAGAGTGAATTCATTCGGTGAGGAGGTTTGAAGTAATTCGTAAATACCCATTCTTTGATATACTTCTCTAAAAACAAAAACAATAATTAAAACACCACAGGATATTATATATTTCTATCGTAATGTGCATGAATGCAAGTGGATCAGTGAGTTGAAATTATCAGATGCAGAAATAATATAAAAGGTAACTATCTGTTTACAATTTTCAACTGTTGAGGAGGTTATGGATATTGGATGTGTCCCAGTCGACATATATCCTTAAAAAAGCTATGGAACTGTTAAAATTCACCATCTATATGTTTCACACAGCTGAAGATGAAATTTCACCACGGTGCTTCTGCAAAATCCTCAGATGGCAATCAATAAAGGTAAACATCAATGTATACAGGTATTATACTACTACCTGATATGAATAGGTGGTTAGTACTCACACCAACCAGTTGGTCTGCTAGTCAGATCACGGTGATCTAGACACCAGAGAGCAGTTTCACTCGGTTGGAGCCGATCTTAATTACAATAAACCACCCAAATTGGGGTTCGCTGCTTGGACAGAATAGTGTTATACTACTGGTTGATGTTAGTAGTAACCGGCTACTTATGTCAGTTAGTACGCACGAACCCGACCATTGTCGTAGGTGGACATCCGTGAACAACTCGTGAAAACAAAACTAACCCTTACAAACCAAACTATGGAAAATTAATCTGATGCTCGCTAGTGACTTGCTACAGGATGGAGCTTCCTGGAGTTCTAGTGAGAAGTCGTAACCAGTGAGGTCCATCCAGATGTCACGTGTGAGGATGGATGTCCCACCTACGACAATGGTCGGGGTCGCGCTAAATCACGAATTGGTAGAAGTTAAATTCATGGGCTGGCTATTAAGCTGGTTTCCAAAGGCTGGACCTTATATGGGCTCTCTGCTTTTTTAACCGGAAGCTCTTGGGTTCGACCCCAGTGGGTGCATACTGCCGTCGTCCAGGAGGCTGTTCAATTGCATGAACTGCGGGAATTCAGGTATACCACTGATGAGATTGAAGCTAAACCACTGTAACATTCATTGAATATTCGCACAAGGAGCTAATAGCTGAAGAGAGTGATTCTTAACTTTTCATATAAACTAGTAGTATACAGAGTCGTGTCTTATGCAACAAATGGCCCTGTGAAGTAAATGAACATCAGACATGTATGTAGTTGAAACAGTGATTTTAATAGTATCAGTTCTGGGTGAAAATGTAGCTTTACTTTGAAAATATAATTGATTCAACACATACAGTAGCATTTTTATTAGTATGATGGAAAAGGAGTTCAGCGAATAGTTACTCTTTTCGGCGATATCATTCTCAATCACCTGTTTCACCATGCTTTATTTTCAAACATTATCTTATACTACTGATGTTTAACAAGTAGTATAGTTTTGTTTCCCAACTTTACCCCATTCATATTTCCGCATTATTTTAATTTGTCGATCATCTAATTAGGTGATGTTTTCCCTTGTCATAGGACATTCTGATGAAGACCGGACCGAACATTAGGCAGATCAGTCCACAAGGAACTCACTGAAACCATGAGATAACATGTTTCTACATATGTGTGCCTTTTGAACGAAAATGAATCCCTTGGCACTCGACTGTGATAACCTCGCCTAGATTACTAGTCGCTAGTTTTCTAGCCCGTCTCAAGCCCGGATAAACAGGGAGGGTTGGGGCGTGGTGCTAGCACCTCCACCCCCAAAACTTAACCAAACGGCTACAGAAACTTCAATGCACAGATATATTAAAAATTCTAAAAATATAAACAATAACCTTATTTTTCGCTGGAATCGGGAAAGTGAAATGACGCAGGCTGGTGAAAGCCTTCGGGAAGCCAGTCAGCCGATGTGCCTTCTTTCGATGAAAGCAAAAGTAAGGATGGGTACCTGGAATGTTCGTACAATGTACGAAACTGGAAAGGCTGCCCAGATAGCCGCTGAAATGAGAAGGTATAGAATAGAAGTGTTGGGAATCTGCGAGAGCAGATGGAACGGATGTGGAAGGTGCCAACTATCAACTGGGGAGACAGTAATCTATTCCGGCCACCCAGAGGACAACCACGAGCACACCGAGGGAGTGGCCATCATGATGTCACCAACACCAGCCAAAGCTCTCATGCAGTGGGAACCAATCTCCTCCAGGATAATGACAGCCAGGTTCAACTCAAAAGGAAGGAAAGTTACAGTCATTCAATGCTATGCGCCTACAAACGTCTCAGAACAAGAAAAGAAGGAGGCGTTCTACAGACAACTACAAACAATAATGGACAACGTCCCAAATGGCGATATCAAAATCCTGATGGGTGACATGAATGCGAAGCTGGGAGGAGACAACACAGGAAAAGAACTCACCATGGGTCGAGAGGCTCTCAGTGAAATGAACGACAATGGTGAACTCTTCTCAGACTTCTGCGCCTTCAATGATTTGGTGATTGGTGGCAGTGTGTTCAAACACAAGGATATACACAAGACGACATGGATTTCACCAGATGGAAACACCAAAAACCAAATAGACTTCATCTCAATTTCAAGAAAGTGGAGACGGAGCCTACTGGACACAAGGTCGAGGAGAGGAGCAGATGTGGGTTCAGACCACTATCTAGTACAAGGGACTTTCAAGGTGAAACTAAAAGCCTCGAGGATAGCTGGGGATAGGCCACAATGCAAGTTCAACACTCAAAACTGAAGGACACAACCACAAAGGACACTTTCACTGCAACTGTCAGAGCAAAGCAGGAAACACTACGCGACATCACTGAAGAATCATGCGTGGAAGAACATTGGAAGTCTCTGAAGGCGATTCTCAACGAAACGTGTTCAACGGTTCTAGGAAGAAAGAAGAGACAAGACAAGGAATGGCTCTCAACGGACACTTGGAAATTAATAGAGGAGAGAAGAATGGTGAAAGAGAAAATGATTCAATGCAAGGACGGACAAAAGAAGGAGACGCTGAGCTCAACTTACGCAGCACTGGACAAAGAAGTGAAGAAGAGTGCTAGGAAGGACAAAAGACAATTCTACGACAACCTGGCCACTGAAGCTGAGAAGGCAGCAGGCAAAAGGGACCTGAGGACATTATATCAGATAACCAAATCTCTATCCGGAAAGAGATCAACACAAGCGAAACCTATAAAAGACAGCCAAGGGAACCCAATTACCAAGGAAGAAAAACAGATTAAACAATGGGCGGATCACTTCAAAGGACTCTTGAACCGACCACCACCTGCAACCCGTCCAGAAATACCAACAACAGCGCGCACACAACTGCAAGTTGACACCAATCCTCCAACGAAAGCTGAAGTCTTGAATGCAATCAAGCTTCTGAAAGCTGGAAAAGCAGCTGGACCAGATGGAATACCCCCTGAAGCACTGAAAGTGGACCCAGGGACGACAGCAGATATGCTGACTCCATTATTGCAAAAGGTCTGGAAGGAGGGAAAGGTGCCTACTGACTGGAGGAAAGGTTACCTCGTGAAACTACCAAAGAAGGGCGACTTAGGACTCTGCAAGAACTGGCGAGGAATCATGCTCCTGTCGACGCCAAGTAAAATCCTGAGTCGCATCATCCTGGAGAGAATAAAGGACGCACTGGATACAGAACTCCGACCAGAACAAGCTGGATTCAGGAAAGGGAAATTATGTTCTGACCAAATCGCAACTCTACGCATCACCATCGAACACAGCATGGAATGGCAATCAAACCTCTACCTCAACTTTATAGACTTTGAGAAGGCCTTCGACAGACACGTTGACCGCGAAGTAATTTGGAAACTACTCGAGTACTACGGCGTACCCCAAATATTCATCAACCTTATTCAACAGCTGTACGACAACGGCACATGTCAAGTGATCCACAACAGAAAACTCAGCGAGACGTTTGGAGTATACACAGGAGTCAGACAAGGATGCATATTATCACCCACGGTGATATTTCTAATTGTGGTGGACTGGATTATGCGTCAGACAGTGAGTGGGAAACGAGAAGACAGGGATATCCTGGACCGACGTGAAGAACCTAGAAGACCTGGATTTCGCGCGTGGATGATTTATGTTTGATGTCACACAAAATCGAAGACTTACAAGCGAAAACCGACAAACTGGTCGAAGAAGCAGCCGGCGAAGACATGACTCCAAGTGAACATAGACAGGACGGAGGTTATGAAAATAACCAACCAACAACAACAGCAGTAACATCCAGCGTCAATCACCATCAATGGGAGGGATTTGAAAGAGGTTACTTCATTCAATCACTTATCTAGGGAGCATTGTCTCAACTACACGCAGTCGGAAAGGACGAGGATGTCAAATCGAGCGAGAATCGGGAAGGCGAGAAACACATTCATCAACCTGAAACCAATCTGGAAATCTTCGTCACTCAGCCAGCATCAACAACAAAATTCGGTCGAATTTTCAATACAAACGTCAAGTCAGTGAGTTCTTCTATACGGATCAGAAACTTGGCAGGGGGTCACAAAGAATATTTCCAACAGCCTGTTGCAGACCAGACCTTTATCAACAACAACTGTCTTCGCTGGCTCTATACTGAAGATCAGATGGCCGGGCCGGAAAGAATCACCAACAAGGAACTATGGGAACAAACAAACAAAACAAGAACCAATCGTCGACCAACAAATATGCAAGAGAAAGTGGAGATGACACATTGGACACTGGCTGAGGAGGCTGCTGGGTGACATCGCGTGCGCGTCAGGCCATTGTTCGAGTGGAACCAGGCCGAAAGGGAAGTGGCGAGTGGGACGTCAGTGCAAGGGTGACATGGAGGAGATCGTGTGAAGAGGAGCTGAAGCAGTATGGACTAACATGGATGCATTTGAAAAGTTCAGCAGAAGGAAGACAGAAGCGGCAAGTGAAGACGTGCAGTTGAAGCCCTCTATTCCACTAGGAACCCAAGGAAACAATAATAATACTCGACTGTGATGCATCTGTAGTCCTGACGCTCCAGAAGCAGAACTAGCTCTTCTGAAAGATCTCTTTATCCAAAATGAATAGTTGCTGAGATTCGGTAAAAAAATTATGAAACCGAAAGTGAAGAGGGAAAAGATATTACTTGTTCCAAAAAACTGGATTTCAACGAAGGCTTAAGCTAAAATAACCTTGCGAGAAGAATATCAGAATCTTCTAGAGGAATATTCTTCGCAGTAAGGCTAATAGTAGGGCTCTCTAGTCGCCTGCTGGTCTGCATAAGTCTTATAGATATAATCTTGCATGTAACTACTGCTATGTCCATATAATATCAGTTCATCTGTTCTTAAGCAGCCATGGATATTGGTCGTTCAACGTTCAACTTGATTCATGCTTGTTAGGTTTTTCTAACTCTTACGTAATTCCATATTTTCACTCGTTTCTATGTACAGCTTAATTACAACTCGTTTGTTGAAATTATTCACCTTATTACATAACTCTAATACACTTATTCAGCTTGTCTAACGCAATGACTAATACTCACAACTACGATTATGACAACTCACCACTTTTGTTACTACTCTCTTCCATGAAAATAATTAGCTTCGTCACTGATTGGTATCAGTTAGAGAAGCAATGAAAACCACTAGGCAGTACTGGATAGTCGTTTCTGAGCAGTTTGGGACTGATCAGACTTATGAACTCAAAACCTTCAGGTTATAAGTCAAGCTCATAGATTAATCAGTCACTAGGACCTGATTCAATGGCCAGCCCGTGAATTACAACACCCATTGCTCAGGTTCCAGTGACTTGGCGGTCTCGAGTTCGAACATCAATGGGCGCTTACTGCTGACGAGTCCCAAACTTGGGGTGGGAGACAGGTGTCTAGTACTTCTTGGTGGTTTTCAATGCTTCTCCAACTAATCCATGGAGCAATTTTGAAACAGATTGAATTTCTACAAACTAAATCACACAAAAAACTTGGAGGATCTGGACTTCGCCGATGATATATATTTGATTTCCCAAAAACTGGAAGATATGCAAGTGAAAAGCAACAAGCTGGCCGAAGAAGCATCCAGAGAAGATAAGACATCACTTCAGGTGAACATAGATAAAACAGAGGTGATGAAGATTCCTGGCCAACATCAACAGCCACAGCAACAACAACAACAGACATCAATCAGCCAGCATAAATGAGAGGAACCTGAAAGAAACAACCTCCTCTACCTGCCTACCCACCTAGGAAGCATCGTTTCAACTATAGGCGGATGGAAGTGATGAGGATATCAAAGCAGCGAGGATCGGGAAAGCAAGACAAACTTTCATCACTCTCAAGCCTGTGTGGAGGTCAACAGCACTCACCATCAAAAATAAGATCTGGATTTTCAACTCCAATGTGAATTCAGTCAGTGCTACTCACTGTATGGATAAGAGACTTGCACTGCGCGTCATGAAGAGCATCTCAAACAAACTTCCGACCTTCATTAACAACTGTCTTCGCTCAGTACTCCAGATCAGATGGCCAGAAAAATCAGCAACAGGGATCTCTGGCAATGAGCGAACCAACCCATCAGGAACCGACTGTGCAACAACAAATAAGCAAGAAGAAATGGAGATGGATTGGTCATACGCTGAGGAAATCATCAGGTGACATCACTAGACAAGCCATTGCTCGAGTGGAACCCGACAGAATGAGAAGCGGCGAGTTGGTCGTCAGTGCAAAGGTGATATGGAGCAGGTCATGTGAAGAGGAGATGAAATCATGTGGGTAGACTTGGAACCAGGTGAAAACTCTAGCAGAGAACCTAACGCAATGGAGACGTGTGGTTGAAGCCCTATGTTCCTCTAGGAATTAAAGGATATAATAATAATAATAAATCATGACAATGAATTCGACGAAAAGAGACACTTCACTGAACTGTTTTCTTTTTCATTATTCACAAAGTTGTTTGACTTACTTGCATTCTTCAACAATTGGAGAATATTCCAATTTCTCAAGTGTTATCAATATACGTCCATTGAATATAAATACATCATTACCATGCCAGTGATCTTTTTCAAAAGGTTTCACTAGAAAGTATTTTGTCACCGAATCAGACATTTCATCATTTGTTACATAAATTATACCAATTGAAATTTGTTTATCCGAAGGGTTATACTTTATAAATCCAATACACTCGATACTGGTATTTTCTAGCCTACAAAGTGAACTTATAATTTCCCAGCTATCTTTTGTTTGTTTCTTCATTGATGTTTGTTTAGCAGCTAATTTGTGTGTTAAAGCTTCGATTGGATTACAATTGATTAAATAATGACCATAATCTTCTAATATTGGTTTCACCATACTCAAGTGATTTATATCTCTGAAGGAAACAGCCAATGGAGCTATAAATGTATACTGTTCAGCAGTTAAATAAGGCATTAGATATTCAGGTTCCAGAAGATTTGATGTTGACTTATTTATATCCCATAGAACAACTTCCAAACCGCTTAGATTATCTTTCTCCTTTTTAGAATGATGATGACTGTGATAACTGGTAGACGGCTTGTATCTTTCACGTCGTGAAGAATTCTGTACAACTGTAATTATCTGACCAAATGTAGGGTTGATATAAATATTCAGTTTAGGCGGAGATGAATAACTCAACAAACCAAATACTTTTGAATATGGCTCCAAAGGAGTGAATACATTCTCACAGGATGATTCAATACGCTTAATATAATTGCCTGTTACTTGATCAAATAAATCAATACAACCTATCACGTCTTCATCAGGTAGAATGTTTGATGGTGATCGACTAGCTAAGACAATCGGTTTACACAATCCACTACTAATCCCTAATAAACGTGTCCATTGATTTGGACATTTCAAGCATTTTTGTTTCAATGACTGAATTAAATTGAAATGATGATCACTAGTCAAGTTTATACTAAACATTGTAGCATGTGAATCACCTCTTGCAGCACAAATAATTTGAAGTAATCTACTTTCTACAATGATATGTGTAGTTAAAAAGAGTTCAGTGTTTGATTTTACCGGACTAGGTAAACTCATTGATCGTAAAGCTTTCTGTTCTAACTTTTCTGACTGTAGACCAGATTGAGACGGTATATCAACAAGGCTAACTGGACTAAATATTTGAGTTAAACGCCTTTCTTTCCATAACCATACAGATAATTTACAAACGCCTTGTTGTAGGATAACAATATAAGCTATACCTTTTACACCTGTTTCAACTACAGATATACTACAGTTTTCTTTGATACTAGGCAATGAAACATCCATAGGAGTGTAGTAATCTTCCATAAGTGAATAGTAATCACCAGATATTGTAAAATTACCATTCAGTTGTATAGGCCATACAAGAACACGTTGACTTGGTGTTTCAATGCCTAAAATTGCTTCATCAACAGCAATCCATAAGAGTTCATTCACTGTTTGTACATTACTACATGGTAGAACAATACTCAAAATTCTATAATTTTCTAAAATATTCCATAATTCTAATTTTGTTATACAACTTTCAAAATGCTTTATTGATATTGCCAGGATGTCATTTGATGTAGAATAGGCGATTGCATTTATTTGCACCCTGTTTCTTACATAACTCAAGCCTACACTAGCTGTCATAGACAGTGATCTAGAAGTCAAACTATCAATCAGCTGTTCATCTGAGCATAAATATGCGCATAGTTTAAAGTTAATCAAATAGGGTAATGTTGGATTATTCAATGCTGTGCTAGGTTGATGAATACTTTCAATAAGTGAAGTTAACGATTTTTGTATCCTACTTTCTTTTTCCGCATTATTTGAATTTAAGGCATTTTGATCGCTATCGCTACCATCGTTGGCCTTCATTAAGCAATCTTGAAGACAATCTTCTAAATTGTTATTAAGTAGGATAGTGTTCAACAAGAATGGATCTTGAGTTAATTTATGTTTCCATTGAATTAAAAGACTCATAATTATCCAGATATCAGGATGATCATGTATATATTTCAATGACTGTTGAATATATACATCAGATGTTAACTGAGCGTCGGTTTCACTCTCTGCTAGTTGTTGATCATTGTTGTCATCATGTATATATGACATATATAGTATCATATCATCTAGGAGGTTCTGTACACATAGAGCTGTATAATCTGTGTAGAAATTAAGCTGTAATTTTAAATTTAACCATTGGGAAGCACAAAAACAAGTCTGTTTCAGTTGTTGTAATCTACCTAATTTGGATAAATGATAGGGAACTTCATGAATCCATCTCCAGTGTACACAGTACTGTAAAGATTGTCTGCTTTCATTGCTTAACCTTGAATCAGCTATTGGCGATATTTGCCTGTGTTGAAGATAGAAGTTATTCGTTTGTAGGACATGAAAGTCGGATATGAGTTTATTATTATTATTGTTATTCAAATAACACGATTCTAACCAATATCGGAATGATTGTTGACGTAAATTAAACATTTGATAACATCCATAAGGTGGAGATCTAGTTAGCGTTAAAATGCCTAATTGCTTTAAAAATTCATTTAGAAATCGATACAACCAATTCCTTGTTAGATAGACACGTTCTGATTTATCATTTGACCAGAAGCCTAGACCACTGTTACTATTATTATTATTATAGCCGCTACTGTTACCTTGTATTGACATTCTATGATGTTGTGTCATTATGTTTGATGGATTCTGAGAATTGTGCAACAATTTAGAAGATTTCAACAGTTGACTAGAAGAATATGGTAGCCAAGACCAAAATAAATTGATCAAATCTTCATCATTTAAACCCCATCTTGATATGATCAATTGTCCTAAAGTGAATTGTACTCGTCTAAGTCCATAGTGCATCTCAGCATAGAACACTAGACAGTTGAATAATTGTTCACTTGTCAATGACTGCGAACGTTTTAACAAATTGTCCACATGTTGATTTCTGGTTTCCCATAACTTTACAAGTATTTTCAGCTGAAGAGGTTGAAATGTCTTGTTTATGCTTTTAAGTTTTGAGATGATAATTTCAGCGCTGTGAATTTGAAGCCATTCTTTGATACATTGTTCCATACTTTGTATATCAAGTTCTTTCAAGTGAATCAACACATAGTCATCATTAGTAGCAGTATTAGTAGTAATAGAAGTATCGTTATGATTATCATCATTATTATTTGAGGTATACTGATTGATTTTGTTTTGAAGAATACTGTCAAATGAGGCTACTTCAACAGGACTATTTGTTGTTGACAGAAGGAAGATGACTGGACAGTTTAAAACAGGCTTGTATTTTAACCATGTGAATGGAATCCATGAAATTGGGAAATTGTCTTTGCGTTGTTTACATTCTAAGGAAAGAGAAAGCAAGATATTTAGACGACAGTGTAGAGAATAGATAACACATTCAAATGACCTTAACAATAATCAATCATATTCTTCTAAGGAGAAAAAGTGACGTTTCTGGTGTATACATAATTGTTATTTATTATTATTATATCCTTTAATTCCTAGAGGAACATAGGGCTTCAGCTTCGCGTCTCCATTGCCTTCTGTTTTCTGATAACTTTTTCACCCCGCTCCAAGTCTGCCCACATGATTTCATCTCCTCTTCACATGACCTGCTCCATATCACCTTTGCACTGACGACCAACTCGCCGCTTCCCATTCTGTCGGGTTCCACTCGGGCAATGGCTTGTCTAGTGATGTCACCTGATGATTTCCTCAGCGTATGGCCGGCCAGTCCATCTCCATTTCTTCCTGCTTATTTGTTGTTGCACAGTCGGTTCCTGATGGGTTGGTTCGCTCATTGCCAGAGATCCCTGTTGCTGATCTTTTCTGACCGGTCCTCTGATCTTGAGTATTGAGCGAAGACAGCTGTTGATGAAGGTCTGTAGTTTGTTTGAGATGCTCTTCATAACGCGCTGGCCAAGTCTCTGATCCGTATAGTAGCACCGACTGACTTCACATTGGAGTTGAAAATCCAGATCTTATTTTTGATGGTGAGTGCTGTTGACCTCCACACAGGCTTGAGAGTAATGAAAGTTTGTCTTGCTTTCCCGATCCTCGCTGCTTTGATATCCTCATCACTTCCATCCGCCTATAGTTGAAACGATGCTTCCTAGGTAGGTAGGTAGGTGAAGGAGGTTGTTTCTTTCAGGTTCCTCTCATTTATGCTGGCTGATTGTTGTCTGTTGTTGTTGCTGTGGCTGTTGGTGTTGGCCAGGAATCTTCATCACCTCTGCTTTCTCTATGTTCACCTGAAGTGATGTCCTATCTTCTCTGGATGCTTCTTCGGCCAGCTTGTTGCTTTTCATTACTTGCATATCTTCCAGTTTTTGGGAAATCAAATATATATCATCGGCGAAGTTCTGATTCTCCAAGTTTTTGTGTGAGTCCATTTTATGCCTGTTTCCTCATTGCTCACTGTGTGTCGCATTATCCAATCTGCTGCAATCAGGAAGATCATTGGCGATGGTAAACAGCCAGGTTGCTTTACTCCCGTCCTCACTTCGAAGGCTTCCGTAAGTTTCCCGTTGTGGATTACTTCGCATGAAGCATTGTTGTATAACTGTTGTATGAGATGTATAATTGTCGATCGGACCCCACAGTAGTAGCGAAGTAGTTGCCAAATGACCACTCGATCGACGCTGCCGTAGGCTTTTTCAAAGTCGATGAAGTTGAGATAGAGAAGTGACTGCCATTCCAAGCTTTTTTCAATGATGATCCGTAGTGTGGCGATTTGATCAATACATGACTTGTTTCTCCTGAATCCAGCCTGTTCCGGTCAAAGTTTTTCATCTAGGTTGGCGTGTTTGGTTCTCTCCAGGATGATGCGGCTTAGTATTTTGGTTGGGATGGACAGGAGCATAATTCCGCGCCAGTTTTAACATTGACTTAAGTCTTCTTTCTTTGGTAGTTTGAATAAGTATCCTTTCGTATACATAATTGACGGCATTATATTTTTGTTACAAGTATGGAATTATCAGCATGTGATATCGGTAGCGCAAATTTTGCAGGCCAACCATAGATATCAGGTGTGCGTCGTCAGGGGATCGAGGATTATAAACAGCATCCATTTGTAATGACTATTAATCTGATTGGTTGCTCCTAGGTCATTTGGTTGCAGTGTCTATCCTCTACACTTAACTAAATTATTTTCCCAGTATTTTCGCTTAATATCTTTGACTACTGATAAATAGTATGAGTAGCTTCAGACGATACATGCCAATTATCAATCTATGCACGTATGAGTCTCTGTATTCACAAAAAATGATATGCAATAAATATTATTTACAAAAGTCATCATATACATTAAACCAACAGTATTAAACGTGTACGTCTAATCTCATGGAGTATATAACAGTAGAACATTTGCACACGTAATTCCATACATTTCAAAACTATTCTACGATGAATTTTTCATCGAAGTGACAATGTAGGTCAGACTTGTTGAATGGTTGGAGCCAGTCGATGATGAGTTTGCACACCTAAAACTTTTATGCTTTCAACAGTTATCGAGAAAGTGTTTATGCAACTTTACCATGAAGGAGGAATTATCAGAAATTCGAATCCACTTCAGCCTATCCTAAAGTTGACATTGAGCTTCCAGAACGACAATTAATTAGATAGTTTAAAACTGTGATGCATACCTCGAATGGTCACCAAGAAGTAATTACTTCAATGTTTTTCAGTACTTGGTTCTGACAGCAAGACATTCACCAAGCTAAGGGATTATATGGTTGGGGAAAACAGTTGTTTAGGGATTACAAATACTGCTTGCTGACTAACGCCAACGTAAACTAGGCGTAGGGAATACCTCCAATTGCGTCCATTCACCTAACATCAATTCAAGGTTGATTGTGACGTTGAAATTCCTAGTTTAATGACTAGCATAATTCACGCAACACTAAAGACTGGAAAATGTGAAATTGATCACTTCCTAGCGTGAATTCACAAAATTAATGAGTCTGATACAAGGTAACATCCACACAGCTATCCAATTTTCGTGAGGTTCATAAACTAAAACTCGATTTGATGAACAAAAAGAAGCAAATTCTTGATAAGATATGCAGTAACATTACCCCGTGTCTGTTCCCTTCCGGACCTATCCAATTTTGCAGACGAATTTACATATCTTGCTTCTGATGCTGTTTATTTAGAGAAATTTGCACCAGTAGTCATTGGAGACTTCACTTCTTGCGACTTTTCTCTCCTTGAATCTATAGGTCATGCAAACATTGTCAATTTCGTCAAATGACTTGACTAAACAATTGATTCAGTGCTTACAAATAACGATGGAATACATAAAGTACGCAAATGCTCAATAGTACTGAATTCTAATCATCGTACTACTTGAATGTTGCCTAAAATATATGGCAAATCATACACAAGTGTTTTCGCCAGCCTTTCCAAGAAAACTCAACAGAGATATTACTGAAAAAGCGAATACATAATCTGAGATTTTTTTTATTTTTTTATTTTTTTTTGATTTACAGCTTGATCCCACACTGTACTTTTGGTACAAGTATGGAATTTTCAGCATGGATATCGGTAGCCCAAATTTTGCAGGCCGACCATAGATATCAGGTGTGCTCCGGCGTGGACTCGAACCCGGACCATGTGCATGGTCGGCGAGAGTCCTAACCACTGTGCCACCGACGCACATGCATGTTAAATGACACTAACTGGGACCTATATACTGAATAGACACTAGATAACACAATCACCAGTGTAACTCAATCTTAAATTCACCAAAGCAACAAAAGCAACAGGGATCTCTGGGAGCGAACCGACTCAGCAGGAACCGATTGTGCGAGAAATAGGCAGGAAGAAATGGAGATGGATTGGCCGGCCATACTCTGAGGAAGCCATCAAGGGACATCACTAGACAAGCCATTGTTCGAGTGGAACCCGACCAAATGGGAAGCGGTGAGTTGGTCGTCCCACGGTGGGGTGACTTAGATGAGGTCATGTGAAAAGAAGATGAAAGCATGTGGGCAGACTTGAAGCGGGGTGAAAACCTTGTTAGAAAACTGAACGCAATGGAGACGAGCGACTGAAGCTCTATGTTCCTCTAGGAATTAAAGGAAATAATAATAATCTTAAATTCTGCCTCGATAATTGTTGTCCAAACAAGCATTATTCAAAACATTTGACCGTTTCCCTTCTCATCATCTTAAAATGGCTACCTGAAGAAAAAGAATGGTTAGTTATAAAAGCCTAAAGATAAATCCAGCATGAAAATGATTAAATTATTTATCAAATTATTTGAAATCCAAAGTGTGAATAGTGTACTCATCAATATCGCTTTTTAAGTATGCATACCTTCTAAGTTTTCAATACCGTCCAAAATAATTATCAGCGGTTGGTTTATTGACTGTTCATAAGTAGCTCTGTAATAGCTGTACGCAAGGCTATACGAAGTCCATCATAGGTCTAAGCGAAGAAATATTTATCAAAAAACAATTTAAAGATATAAGAGTCAATTTATCCAATTAAAAATCAACAGGAAGGTAGACAGCGAAAATTGCTTCAAGTTACATTTCTTGTTAAACTAACAAAAAAAGGGTGAATTAGGCCTCTGCATGAACTGGAGCGGAATCCTACTCTTGTCCACGCTGAGTAAAATAGTGAGTCAAGTGATCTTGGTGAGAATCAATAATACACTAGATGCAAAACTCCTCCCAGAAAAAAAGCTGAATTTGGGAAAAAGGGAATCTCATGCAGATCAGATAGCAAGCATAAGAGCATCATTATTGCACAAAGCATAGAATGTCAGTCACAACTCTACTTAAGTTTCGTCAACACTGAAAAGACTTTGGCCGTAAACTAATATAAAAAAACCACTTCAGCAAAACATAGTGTAGTACCCCGAAACTATATCAACCTCATTCAAAAGAAATGTGATAAGGCCACATGCAAGTCATCCACAGAGGAAAAATCAGTGAAGCCGCCCAACGGAGTCAAGACACAAGTATGACGAGCCTGTCTACCTATTATCACCCATGATGACAGTCCTAATTGTGGTGCAATGAATTATGCAGAAGATCGTGCAGTGAGAGGACAGATAAGACATGAATACACTAGACCGATAAGTAGACTCTGCAAGATCTGGATCTCACGGACCACTTGTGTCTAATATTCCATAAATTAGAAGATGACTCACAGACGAAAACCGACAGTTTGGAAGAAGCATCAGCGAAGACTGCACTCCAAATGAGCATAAGGATGAGGTGGTCGAGGTGATGAGAATAACCAACCAACCAACTAACCAGTCAACAACAACAATCACCAATCATTGTCAACAGAGGAAATTGAAAGAGGTCACTTCCACCATTACCTGCTAAGAATCATCGTTTCAACTATATGCGACAACATGGTTGAGAATGTGTTAAATCAAAATCTGAAAACCAGTCAGGGTCGGAAAGGAAAGACAAACCTTCATCACTATGAAGTCAGTTTGAAAATCTTCTGCGGTAAGCCTAAACAGCAGAATTGAGGTTTTTAATATCAATTTCAATTCAGTCAGTTCGTCTATATGGGTCAGAAACTTGACACACGCGTCACGTAAAGCATTTCTAACAGGCCACTGAAGACTTGTCTGTAGTTGCCTTCAATGGATTTATACTGCAGATCAGATGACTGTCCAGAAAGAATGAGCAAAAAGAAACTCTGGGAAAGAATAAATCGAAAACCTGTTGTTCAAGAAATGTGACGGAGGAAATTGAGATGGGTTGGACACACATTGAGGAAGCCATCAGGTGAAATGAAGTGCCAAGCCATCAATGTATTGAACTCTCATGTGAAATGACGAGTTAGGCGTCAATCATAAGGAGTAGGTCTTCTGAGGAAGAGCTGAGAGCCTAAGGGAAATAGTGGGTCTAGCTTAAGAGAAGTACAAAGGACAGGACGAAGTGGAGTTGTGCTTTTGAGGCCACATGTTCTACTTGGAATCCAAGGGGACAACAATATTGACTAAAAATATAATGCATTTCTTCACGAACAGATACCACTGAAAGAAGAAACGAAAATCAAGGATCACTGGACAGCTGATTTGTCTCAGTTTAGAACTCTTCGGTACTACACATATAACCTCACTGAGGTTGAAATCAAGACTTCCAGGACATACAGCAGGCATATTACCCATTAGTTTTCTCTACGGAGTACCATAGTCAATGGATTTTGAATTGGCGAAATGCTCAACCACTTACATTTGACTTCATGCACTACACTGTTAAAGAGTTTGTCTAGTAACCTGAAAGTCCAGACTGCGATTTCCATTGGGGTCATGAGTGACTACTGCCAAAGAATTCCAGACTGGGACGAAGCAGCTATCAAATACTCGCCTATTTTTCAACAGTTCCCAAAATGATGTCGGTTCCGAAAAAATTTAGGATGAAATCAGTCGGATCATTACAAATCAACCCTTTAAGTGTAAAATAACAGTAAAACTGTTTTTGGTTTCTTAGTTTTCAGTTGTATTGAAGTTCGTGCTCTCAGATTCAATAGATCCTTAATGTTAAAAGGTGACCGCCGGAACTCATGATTAACTTCTTGCAGGACGGTAGAGGGTAACCAATATTGTGGGTCAAGAAATTGTCAACGATGCTGACTGAATTCCATTCTTCAAGTTTCATATGCGGTTGCCAAGCTGAGTTACTTGCCATCACGTTTCACTTCTTATTACTGTCAGCAAGTATCTTGTATTTTTCAGATTGTAATTTATGAAATTTTCCGAATTTATTTTTGTTTTTTATTACAGCTTGATTCCATACAGTATTTTGGTATGAGTATGGAATTTTCAGCATGTGATATTGGAAGCCCAGAATTTTGGAGGCTGACCATAGATATCAGGTGTGCGTCGGCAGGTGATCGAACCCCGGACCATGTGCATGGTCGGCGAGAGTCCTAACCACTGTGCCACCGAGGCACAAATTCTAATCCCAGTGAAGAATTTATATTCACAGACATTTGCGTCTTCTAGGGATGTGAAAGGCGAATTGGTTATCAGGTGTTGGCTAACGTAAATTAAGTCTGCTATCCCGATCGGTAATTTACGAGAATTTTGAATTAAAATGGAATTCGCTTTTAAAGTAGGTGAAATGAACACAAGTGAGAGGATCTTATTATGAAATATTGGAGATGAATTATAATTTAGTTGGATGCTTTTGTTGTTATTGTGTTTTCTAAGTTGAAGCATGAATGTTATGTAGGCAGATAAAAGATGGATTATCCTTCATTGGTGATTTGGTGATCAAGATCCAGTCTGGAAATAAAGTAATCAGAATTTGGCCCATACAAATTGACGTCTACTGTCTTACTGATTGTGATTATAGACTATTTTGACATATCCATTATGGGTAAATTTTGTTTTCATAAAGTCTCACATTGGTGTTATGCAGTAATGTTTACTGATTACCAAGTTTCGAGCACAATTTATTGTCACTCATAATCATATCAAGGTACTCACACGACTTCCTAACTTCATTTATATTATTATTATTATATCCTTAACACTTATCTGTTAAGGCAGGCTTAGTTAAGTGTTTAACAGACCGAGCAGTAGCACTAAGTAGCACAAAAAAGACCTAAATGATGAAATAAAACAGATAGAAGAGGCGTTAGTGTTAAATAACCATCCTTTAAAATTCATTAGGAAGATTGAATAAGGCCAAACGAAAAATAAAAATTATTGTGAAACTAGTAATGATAACATAAATAAGAAAGAGTATAAGTCATCTACAGTTATACCATATAAAGAGGGGACATCTGAGACCCTACGTAGGATTCTAAATCAATCAGGAATTTGGGTGGCATTTAAACCTACAAACTCACTCAGGGACAAGCTGTGTAGGTTAAAGGACCCCGTCGGTTGACCCAATTAGACAAAATAACATAATTTACAAAATACCCTGCAATGACTGTGAGTGTGGTCAACTACATAGGTCAAACTAGTAGGTCAGGGGATAGTCACATTGTCAGAACATAAGAATTTAGTTAAGGTAAGAATGGTTGACCCCGAGAAGATAAGTAATTTAGAAAAAAGCTCAGAAATTGCACTGCATGCATTAACGCACAACATCACTATAGGGTGGGAGAGGTTTAAAATTCTAAGAAGTAATCTAGGTGGGTGGAGAGTGAGGTTGTTTACTGAATCCTGACTGCTTCATCGAGTCTGCACCCAACACATGCAATAGGAACGACTCATCACTCATACCGGAAATATGAAAAATACTACTACCAATCAAATCAAGTGAAAAATAATGGAACTATATAAATGAAGTTAGGAAGTCGTGTGATTACCTTGATATGACTATGAGTGGCAATAAATTGTGCTCAAAACTTGGTCATCAGTAAACACTACTGTATAACACTGTGAGATTTTATCAAAACAAAATTTACTTATAATGCAATTACACTCCACCACAGTGCACAAGTTTTATTCGTATATCAATGATAATTAACAAATCCTCGGTGATATTTTAAGCCATACACCAATCGGAAAGATTTGATTCTCAGTCTTGAATGTTCTTAGACAGTTTAAATCATATATGGAATGATCTTAGATAGGACGTAGTAATGAGGCATGATGATTTCAACAGAATATCGTAGCTTGTTTTCACCGTAAATACTTCAGATTAGAAATATCACTGATTTAAATGATGATTAATTAAAATGTTCTTTTTATTCCTTTACATTCCCAGTGGAACATAGGGGCTTCAAGCTAGAGGCTTGAAGTTTCCGCAGCAGTGGTGCTTAGTTTCACGGGATGGGATTGCTAGCCTCATGCCACCAACCTTCCCTCTTTACCAGTCTTACTACTGGCTAAGAGAGGTAAAGGAGTGCGTCTGTGGCCAGGGATCGAACCCCAGATCACATGAAGCTTGGTTAGCGAGCATTCATTCGCTGTGCCATTTAAACACGTGGTGTTTGTAAAATTCCGTATTCATAACGAATAACAAATAGAACCTAGTAATGTGATTTAATGGTTACCGGTGAATAGTAGGAGAATCCAAGGTGCATGTTTTTTAATCTCGTTCGGGACTAGTGAGCTGGGCATATCTGCATCACTAAGAGAGTGAAGCGGTTCCAGTTGTTACTCGAATTTGTCGTCAGTCGCTTCAAACTCTGAAGCATAATCAACTCGATTAGACAGCCGCCAATAAATCTAACACTTATAAGACAGTTTTGATGTGAAATTACTTATGAATGCTTGTGATTTCCAACCAAATGCATTTCGATTATTCTTACAACTCTAAGGTTTTTTTTTATAAGAATGAAACGCATAAGACTCGTGCAACTTTTATGTTCGTCTTTTGCGTATAAACAACTAACTGAGGTTCTTTTTTCTTGATAAAATTTCATACAACATAAAACATACATCAGGTAATGTTGATGCATTCATTTGTGTAGACAATTCTAAACAAAGATAATTTAACAGATTCAGCAGGTTCAGTGATATTGTAGAAGATCCAATCATCCGATAAATCACTCGTGGACTGAAAATGAATTGAAAAAAACAAACAAACAAAAAAACAGTAGTCATTGAAAATTGTAACAAAGGATAAATATTAAAACAATTAGTCCCTTTCATAAATTTGAATAAGGCATTAAGACGACAAATTTCGCGAGATGATGCCATCATTTCGTAGTTTCTTTACAACCGCTCTACAACTAGCATGACTAACAGTAATAAAATAAAGATCATGACAATTACTCAGTTAAATAAAAAACACCAATCATATTTAGAGAGGTCATGTAATCCAGCGTAGGCGTAGATTGAAGTCTATTGATTTTTGTACACACAGTTTAGGCTGTATGTGATTAATCCAAAGTCCTCCCATCACCTTCAATAACCAATCTTGAATTAGAGTTATGTGATGAAATAAATGTGAAACAGTCATTAATATTGATTTTGTGATCAGACACTAATAAGTGTTTTGCAATGGATGATGCTGGATTTCTATTCAGATTAATCGTGTTAGGATTTTCGATATGATTTACTAGCCATTTTGGAATATGTTCTTTCCGACGACATTAGAACATTCTGTTGGTTCTACCTATATGGTGTCACCGAAACAACTGCAGGCGAACTTGTAGATACAGTTTGAAGTAGAGTCCACACAATTTCATCCTTTAATTGTAGGTATAGGAATCGAAAATGTTCGAGATGTGAGGGAAAGATATGCGGCATAGGATGTGCGCTTGACAGCTGACTGAATCCTTTGAACTGTCAGTTGCATGATTTGATCACCCCTGAACAGTAGTTTAGTAAAGACAGTTTTCTTTGGCACAGAAGCTGTCTTTTCTAGATGTAGTCTATCCTTATCGTGACAATTGATGAAGTTTTCGAAATTAGAGAAACAAATGCAAGGTATGCTTGGAGAATTTATACTGTATAAACGTTATGTAGATGATACTCTTATTATTGGTAATCATAGTAAATCTATTGAAAACTTCATTACTCTATTTAATCATATTCATCCAAATATTCGAGTGACTTCCGAACTAGAATCGAATAACAAACTCGGTTTCCTGAATATTACTATGACAAGGAGAGATGATGGAACGATTAGCGCTCTATTTTTCGTAAGCAGACATGTAGTGGACAATATCTTCATTTTACCAGTTTTGTTCCTATCCAGTATAAACGTTCCCTAGTGAAATGTTTGTTCTCAGGGGCCCGAAAGATATGTACGAGTGACACATTAATGGATGAGCTCCGACATATACATTCAGTTTTATTGTAGATATGTGCTGAAAATTCCACACTGTACCACAAGTACTGTTTCTGGAATAAAAGCAAAATTGTTATGTTATGTTAATGGTCATTCAGAAAACTTTATCAATTGTCACAGTAAGGATAGGCCACATCTTGAAAAGACAGCTTCTGTCCCAAAGAAAGCTATCTTCATTAACCTACCATTCAAGGGTGACCAGATTATGCAGTTGACAGCTCAAAGACTTCGGTCAACCATCAAACGCACATTCTAATGGAGGCTCAGATCACCAGCATGAATATTTAACTCCTAATGAATCAGTGATAGTCTTCAACCTCCTTTAGCTAATTTAAGTTGGTTCGCTCCTGCAATGTTGACGATTTTCATAAGCAATGAATGTCTGGAATTCTAATTTCTGGAAAATACCTGACAGTTAGATGAGATACATTATCAAATTCGGACGGAATTTTGATTATTTAAAAAAACTAACACACAAATATCTCATACAATGATTCCCTTTTATAAATTTGAACAAAGAAAGAAGAAACACTGACGCAGAATAATTTGGATCCATTTTATTCCGTTGGTTCTCATCAGCTGCGTAAAACCTTTGTCCATTAGCAAGCATATTGTCAGAGCGTCATAGTAAAATAAGGCATTGCGGTTTACGGGGTGTCTAGAGTGTTACGACATATATGTATCTATATATATCTTGTTAGAGAGAAGTTTCTTGACAAAAAATTAATTAACAGTTGTGTTGTTGGGGTGGTAACAAAAGACAATTAGTAATTGAAGACCCTGGTGACTCACTTCTCAGTAACTTTTTGTTTTCTAATTTTATTAATTTTGTTAACTTACCTTTTCACTCCACCTCCCCTTTATATTTCCCTTGACTCTCTTCAGAGATAAATTTTCTTGATCTTCCGAGTTCTACTTACTGTATCACATCATCAACTTCTCATCTGACCTCATGTGCACTGAAATTTTAAAATTTTGATCTTCGCTTATCTAATCGCGTAACTATTACTGATAGTCTTTTATTACCACCCCAACAACACAACTGTTAATTAAGATTTTCCAAGAAAATTCTCTCTAACAAGATATATATATACATATATGTCGTAACACTTTGGAAACTCTGTAAACCGTAACGCCTTATTTTACTATGACGCTATGACAATATGCTTGCTAATGGACAAAGGTTGTACGCAGCTGATGAGAACCAACGGAATAAATTGGATCCAAATTATTCTGCGCCAATGTTTCTGTTATGATGCTAGATCTTTTGTCACGAGGTCACTGCTTAACTACTGACCAGTGCCCACTTAACCGGTAAAGCAGAACACGCGAGAATCAGCGGGAAAACCAGGTTCATTTATTATGACAAAAGTGACTGTATTTATACAGAAAATAAGGTAGACTGGAAATCAACCAATCCGGTTGAGAGTTGGAATTGTGCAAGGGTCCAATCAGAAAGCAGGATAATTGCATGTCAACAACTTGTTAATAACGCGATAATAACCTGACTGAGACATGATAATGACCTGATAATTGCATGTGTTTTGCCTCTTTCTAACAGTTTCTTCTTTCTTTGTTCAGACAAATATCTGTTTGGCCATAATATGCAAACAAATGATTAACTTCATGAAAACTAAGAGGATAGTCTTATGTGGTTTCAGGTCCCTCTCTGCCTTGTCGTACTATAAATCACTCGTATTTAAATTTAGCTGCTGCTTCCTGGCATCCTAAAAACCCCATTTAGGCAGTCTATACTACTGGACTAGAACTACACCAAAATAAACATTCAGTCATTCTACTGGTATTTGCTGTGATTTGATCTGGTTAACCCTAAACCCTGTTCATCCAAAAATTACTATATCTCGTCATGGGATGTTGTAGCTCAGTATGTGTGAAAGGTATCTTAGCCACAACCTAGTGAGAAAGCCGCATGACTGTAAGGTAGAACCAAATGAATTACTGGGATTATGTCATCAGGGAGTAAATCTATGAAGGGTGCAACAACTCAACGCATCCAACTATAAAATAATGGAGATATGTAAATTAGGTGTATTATTTTGGTTATGTTGTTGTCATTGAGCTAACTGGTCGAATTGTGAAGCTCCGATATCCATCTGAACAGTGTCATCAAGGGTGTTCCTCCATAAGGAACCCATATCAACATGTCCTGTATAGTATAATGGTATGGTGGTCGGTATCGAGTTTAGAAAGAAACCAATCAGAATTGGTCTACGTAAAACGATGCCCACCACTTTGCCCACTATGAATATAAAATAATTGACATATCCTTAGTGATGTTTTGAATCGTATATCATTCCGTAAAACATACTTTTCAGTTCCTTGTATGTTCTGGCTTGAAAAGTGTGATGTGAAGAAACAGGTAGCTGTCGTATAATGTTGTTGGCGTCATCATGCGGTTTTGGTGATGAGCGTGTCTGTGTCCAATTCGGCGTCCCCTATTTCAATGTCAATGCATTGCAAATCATAACAACTTAGCATTTGCAAAATTCCAAGGTACACTTAGATTATGATGTCTATGGCATTGTAGTGAGGAATTCTGACACCAAAATACAATTATGGTTGAAATAAATAGGGTAAATTGGATGGGCTAAGTACTGAATATGGATTAAATATACTGTTTATTGCTTCCGTATGCTCAAGGTGTTTTTGACCACTGCTCATCCTATCAACTCTTTATGCCTTTCCTCCTCCTGATCCAGCCGATATTGGACAGACAAGCGAATATAACTAAAATCACCTTAACGTCTGTTCTAATTAATTGGGTTAGTTGCTGATTAATCAGGTGCCAGAGCATATCCACTAATTTAGTAAGGCTGATCAGGTAATATATGATAAGTTTTCAGAAATTTTTTGATGATTTGGAGGATTTCATAAGTTAGAGAACCGTTGGAAAACCTGGGAGTACTGGAAAACTATTTCACCCTACTTGGGGGCTTCTCATCGATACGCACATACCGCCAGGTTTTGAACCCAGGACCTTCTGGTTACAAGGCTAGCGATCTCGAAAACCATTAAGTCACTGGGACCCGATCCAATGGCCGGCCAGCAGGTGAATTCTACCTCCTTCTAATTCGTGACATAGTACGACAACTTTGCAATGTCTTCTTTGATGAGTTACCGCCTCACCATCAAATTGCTGCACCCTATTGGTTATGGCTTCCCACCAGAATTCCTGGTTAACTTCCTGAATAGGTCCAATCGCTAGTGAGCATCAGATTAATTTTCAAGTATTGGTTTTGTTGGGACTTTTTGTTTGATTGGTCCAGTACTCCCTGCAGGTTTTCCAATGGTTCTCTAACTGATTTCATCTCATGATGAAATCCTTCAATAAATATATGATAAACACTATTTCAATTCACCAGTATTAAATCACTTCTTCTATGTAAGTCAGAAACTTGCCATGTGCGTCACATAAAGAATTTCCAGTTGGTTTTTCAAGGCTTTTATCCACAAATGTCTTCGCTCTGTACTGAACATCGAATGGTTAGAAAGAATCTACAGGAAGAAGCTGTTGAAACAAACCTATCAAGGAACTATTGCCGAACAAATATTTCGAAGAAAATGGAGATGCATCAAACACCTGCAAAAAGGGACCATTGAATGACATCAAGCACCAGGCCATTACACGAGTGAAATAGGATTGCGAAATGATCAATAGGGCATCACTTCAAAGGTAACATGGACGAGATAGTGTGAGGAGGAAATAAGAGACTATGGGAAATCGTGGAGCAGATGTAGAGGACAACAGAGAATTAGAAAAAGGGTGCTGCTGAAGCCCTATTTTCCACTCGGAACCCAAGGGAACAACAACAATATTAATAAATACAATTCCAATTTTCACGTGTTGGTTTGTAGGGATTTGATTGATTGGTTACAGGATTTCATCATGAGCTGACATTAGTTAGAGAACCATTGAAAAACCACCTGGGAGTACTGGATAGCTGTTTCGTCCCAGTTTGGAACTCTTCACCAGTATGCACCCATCGGGGTTCAAATCAATGTCAGCTCATGATGAAATTCTGTAAAACAATTCTGATTGTTTTACAACATTATCAGTTGAAAAAAGAAAACATTACCGTAAAACTCACTAAATACAATTTGAAGAGATTTCAATCGGCTTTGTGATTAGCTTTTTAGCCAGAGCAGCCAGTAGAACTGATTTCCCACTGCCAGATTCACCAGTCACATGAATAAATTTGAAGTAGTTCATATGAAGAATATCTATCTCTTGACAATCTTTGGTATGCTTCGAAATAATCTCCAGTAATTGAGTTATTTTGTCTTCTCTTGTAATGCATTCTAAAGATCTGTGTATAAAATAATAATTGTGTGTGTGTATTAAAAACACTATGTTCCTGTTGTAAATTTACAGTAAGCAACATCTATGAAGAAAGCAGAGTTTTTTTTAGTGAATTCGTAATTTTCGGTAAGATTCATCAACTGAACACTCTGTAAACGCTGTTATGTATACAACTCTGTCTTAAGGTTAAATATACAGAAACATATGAATACAATTTGATTTGTATACAATTGGTGGATGGTGGCTAGCAGTGGAATCCAGGATGCGCATTTCGTCCTAATTGGGACTCGTCATCTGGATGTACCTGCATTTCTCAGTGAGTGATGATGTTCCCACCGAGGCTCGAACCCAGTAGCCATAGTTTCAAACGCCAGCCAAAGCGTTATCCACTAGACCACTTGGGCCACGACAGCCACCTCTTGTGCAACGGGTCATATTAATTATTGAATTGAATTTTTGATTTTCCCGTCAATTGATTGGACCGAAGTGCTCGGTCTCACTGAGAAATGCAGGTACGTCCAGCTGACGAGTCCCAATTAGGACGAAATGCGCATCCTGGATTCCACTGCTAGCCACCATCCACCAATTGTATACAAATCAAATCCCCAGACATCGTCGAAGCATCTGCACAAGAAGCCGACATGTCAACCTGACACCGAGCACTTCAGTCCAATCAATCGACGGGAAAATCAAGAATTCAATTCAATTATGAATACAACTGTTACAATAAATCAGGATCACTTAGAACACATGCAAGATGTACAAGTTTTGTGAGTAGTGCCTAGACTAGCCACTTCTAATTGTATTAATCAATTCAACAGTGCCTGTGGAGCGAGTTATATTGGCTGTTGACTCTAGGAACCTGTTTTATCGTGCTCAGGAACATCTAACAGTGTAGTTAAATAAAGGTGTAGTTAGAAGCATCAATGGCTCCATTTTAGAACACCTGGTTCAAACTGACCACAAAGTCAATACTGAAGAGTCCTCCTCCATCATCACCTATTGGGTACCAAATAAAATGCCAACATAATCCAGGTACTGTATACTCCAAACAGAAAAGGCCATCGCACTATGCCTAAGACGACCGGTATTCTGTGTTCAGAAGAAGCAAGTCCAACCAGTGTTACTGCCTTGGCCTGCTGTGGAGTGTACAAACTGGTAAGTACCTTTTATTACATCGTCCCCTTTTGTTGTAACCCTCCATCCTGTACATATAAATTCCCCTACCCCTAGTCATTACACTTGCATTAACTAACCATTTGTTTAAGTATTTAAACGTAGCTGTTAACTTACACAATGACACACATACAGCGCACATAAATTTCAACCCTTTTTCTCTATCCCTGTCCTTGACGTGATCACTCATCCATCTGAAGTTTATTATCGATATAAACAGAACTTAATGTGAACATGATTGATGAGATCCACCAATTGTATACTAACTAAATGCCCAGACATCGTCGAAGCATCTGCACAAGAAGCCGACATGTCAGCCTGAGACCGAGCACTTCGGTCCAGTCAATTGACGGGAAAATCAAAAATTCAATTCAATAATTAATATGACCCGTTGCACAAGAGGTGGCTGTCGTGGCCCAAGTGGTCTAGTAGATAACGCTTTGGTGTTTGAAACTATGGGCGCTGGGTTCGAGCCTCGGTGGGAACATCATCACTCACTGAGAAATGCAGGTACATCCAGCTGACGAGTCCCAAATAGGACGAAGTGCACGTTGTCCTGGATTCCACTGCTAGCCACCATCCACCAATTGTATGACTTCAATTTATTTAATTTTTGAGTATATAGATTTATGGTTGATAAAATCCGAATAATTCTGCTGAAGAAGCTGTGACTGACACAGAGAAACATTGAGAGAGATCTTGTTTCGACTTTAACTGAAACATACTAGGATTGTGTTAAATAATTTATAATAAAAATGAAACATGTGTAACTCACTCAGAACCAAACAATAAGATTTTAACATGTCTAATCTGTTGCAAAAATGCACACCAAGATTAATGCTCAACTATGATTTTCGATTCGTACATATCCTAAGAAAACTAACAGCTCATCAGATAAAATAATGATAATTATAATAATAATAATAGTGGAAAAAACGTTTCGAAGAGAAAAGGGAAGGTAAGGAAAATATTAAAGTTAAAATAAATGTATACTACCAAGGTGGATTCATGCTAACTACTGTCTCTTTTTGTATACATTGGTCCAGCTTTTTGATTGGACACTAGTAACTAGTGTGACGTGTCTACTCCTTTTTTTGGTGCAGACTGAATTCTATCAATCAGGTTTTGCAATGTGGCCACCATTCTAGGGTAGTTTGCCATCACGGTACACTGGGTGACGCGGGTTCAGAAGGCGCATGAGTTGATCCTTCAGGGTTGCAGATACGCCTTACTGATGAATGCTAACTAGCACGAAACCTAGGTCCGAGAAAGGCTTCCTGCCGATTGCCCCCAACTAACTAATATTGGTCCGGCTTCTTCACTCTGATTGCGTAGGCTTCAGCGAACACAACAGCCTTCTTCCTACCTTGCTTATTAATATCTACAAAGCCTTTACTCAACGTTAATGTATGATCACAGTCCAGCATGTGTACGTTATTAGACGGTTGAAAGTTATGGACCAGAAACCCTGAACCTAAATTTCCTGGTTACTTAAGCCCTGACTCGTCATCCTGAGGACTAAGCACATGACACTGATCATTCTGCAGTGACCAGTCAATGTGAAAAGTACAAACTCTATCTATTATCTCCTCAGATTCTCATGTATTCTAAGTGCAACAGTAGGATCTATCAAACCTTCATAATATAAATGGTGTTTACCGGAGAGAAATCAACTAGTTAGGTGTGTTAATAACAACCATTCTTTTTATTTTTTTTAATTTTTTATTTACAGCTTGATTCCACACTGTATTTTTGGTACAAGTATGGAATTTTCAGCATGGATATCGGTAGCCTAAATTTTGCAGGCCAACCATAGATATCAGGTGTGCGCCGACGTGGGCTCGAACCCCGGACCATGTGAATGGTCGGCGAGAGTCCTAACCACTGTGCCACCGACGCACATATATATAAATATCTGTTCACTAATCAAATTTCTGATGGTTCATTTTATTGGATAAGCATGTCTGCCCCTTAGCACGGTTGCTTCAATGATGAAAGCCATTATATGCGCCTTGTTCCACCTGAAACTTGCCATCTGGATGCGTCTGTATCACAAGAGAGTTATGGTATACCCAATGAGACTAAAAACTAGGTCTTATTGTTTCAAACATCAAAGTGGTGTCCACAATAGGACCTAGTTGTGGATTTCACTATGAGTATCATCACTCAGTTGCGATAAAGTCTTATTCTACCGGAAAGTTTCAAATATGATGAAACACGAGTCATGGATTCTTCTACTAGGTGTACCAACAACCCACTTGATAAGTCTGTCAGTGAATGCTCATCTTTGAATTATTTACCAGTGAAGTGATACTAATAACTCGGTTAGTAGGAATAACTTCTCAGTCCTGTTGGTTGTATGACGAGAATAAACAATATGCCATTAAAAAATGTAAATCCTTTGCTCAAATGCCTCTAGCCACCAGTAAGTACCTGAAACATTCGAGGAATTGGTGTCTCTTCACTTCAACTTCTAAATTACAATTCTGGGAAATTAGCAATATTTCGAGTGCAAGTAATACTATCTAGGGAACTTCCAATTTCTATTGAGAAGAAGGTGTATGAAAATGTTCTGCTTATCAGAACTAAAGACCTAATAGTCATCCGGTGCTAACTGATTTCACACAGTACTTATTATAAAGTGGTTGCAAAAAGTCCATTAAAGCGTTACTAGTTACTTAATTACTTCTTATCAGTAAAACAGTAATGGCATCTTCATAAGTTCCCAAGTTAGCGGATTTCTTTCTGTGAGTAAACTAGAGAATGATGCCTTTGAACAACCTTATTGGAAAATTCTCATTTTGTTGCCCGTTTACAGATGACAATTTCACTCATTGTGAAAATGAATTCGACAAGAATGAAACAATATCTCAAATGAATCAAGTAAGTTCAACTATCAAATTCACGTGTGAAGAGGTATCCCAAAGTTAGATTACCTTTCCAGACATCCAACGGACAAGAAGACCAGACTGTAGCATGAAAAAGTAATTTGCACAAGAGAAGTACTTGGCACAGTGGTTAGGACTCTCGCCGACCATTCACATGGTCTGGGGTTAGAGCCCGCGCCGACGCACACCTGATGTCTATGGTCGGCCTGCAAAATTTAGGCTACCGATATCCACGCTGAAAATTCCATACTTGCACCAAAAATACAGTGTAGAATCAAGCTGTAAATCAAAAATAAGAAAAAAATATAAAAAATATACGCATTTTCATAGTTTTGTTTCTCTCTGGTATGAAAGAAAGTTGGTGAAGACCCTCAGCTGTAGGGTCAGAGAGGTGACTGAAGACGAACTTAAAGTTGTATTCCACACGTTAACTGAAAACAGCTACCCCGAAAATTACTCCACCAAACACTGATCATGTGGAGCAAGTTAGCTGTATTTGTCATTGGTTTCCCTAGGGACTTAGTTCTTCTTGCTTGGAAACACTTATCAGTGTGGGCAAATAAACGTGTTATCAAAACTATCAACAGGTCTATATGGGATCATCTCGTCCAAACAGGCCACAAAGCTAGTTAGCACTGAAGAATCTTCCCCTATAATCCATCGAGTGTGGTATAAATTATCAAATGCCTCTAGATAGCGAACATTTCAAACAGCAGAGACCATTACTATTCGCCTAAATCGACCAGAGCTATGTATGCAAAAAAAGCGACAAAAATGTATTTAATCACCTTTCTTATGTACCATCTAGACAATCATTAAATTATCATCAACTCACAGATTATCCATAGCTTCCAAATGGGCTGACATTTCAAATTCTGTACACCAGTGTGGAAGATCTTTCCTCTTGTTCATTTTCACATTATCTATCTCAATCTGGTGTCGTCTATCCATTTCTTCAATTAAACTTTGACTAAACTTATTTCGTATATTACGACACATATCGTCTAAGTAAATAGCATGTTCTTGAAAGGTAATAGGATCTAAATACGAGTGTGAACAATTGATTTGATCATCCATAGTGACAGGAGAAGATTTTTCCAGTTCATAATATGACTGATTATTCGCTGGAACCTATTTAACACATAAATATTACGAAACAAAAAGGAAAATTCACTATTGCTCCAGTACATTATGTTGCCAGAAGTAACGGAAAGAAAATGACTTGTCGCAGAAGCAACTTTCATGTCCTGAAAGTCTTTTCTGTCAATTAGAACTAGATACATAAGTAATGGGATGCAACTATTACTATGGTAATTAATATTCTCTTAGGTGGCAAGTGGAACATACGGCTTCAACACCACATCTTCACCTTGTTCCATCCTTTGCAGTCCTCTTAAGCTGGTTGCACGATGGCCCATAAGTATTCATCTCCTTCCCACATGATCTCCTCCACGTCACGTTCAAAGTGACGCTTCCCGTACGCGTTCTACTGAGGGTCTAGCCCATGACGTTATCCAACGGTTCCCTGAGCGTGTGTCCAATCTATGTTCTTTTTCTTCATGCAATTTTTTGACAAACAGCTTGTTGACTGATTCGTTCCCGTGCCTGCTTGTGGCTGATTCTTTCTCGCTGTCCATCTGTTTTTCAGTATGTACAGGTGTGTACAATTTCTAGGGGATTAGAACCACTTCGGTTCAAATACAGTTCGACTGTATACTTCAATCGCTTCACGAGGGGTGGCCCATTGGTTTATTAATAATGTAATCGCTTTATTCCAAGCGATAGCAATCATATAGAATGTAATTTGGGGTTTTTTATATATGCTGTCACAATTCACCTCCTTCTATTAATATATAAATACATAATTTTGTAAAAATAGTAAGAACCACAAAGAACGAAACTTAGTGAAATATAATGAACAATGCATACCATATATGTGTGTCAATAATTCTTGTTATAATTTGCTGTTTATTTACTGATTTGAAAAGTCTATAAGCCTCTTTTCTGTCATTCGTCTTATCACACAAAATTCGTCTGCAACATGGTAAGACTTAATTTTTATATTTTACTGCACCAGAATAAACACTTATGAAGATTCTTCTGGATTTAACCCGAAGAGGAACAAAGTAAAAAGTGAGAGTTAAGGTGATGTCCGGTGTCAGACAAGACAACTTTAGCTAACTACTTGCAAGAATTCAAATACCCATGGACAAGAACAATGTCAGTTAGTTCTGTCCTATTTACAACCTTCAATGGTCTATGTGATAGGACACAGTTGTTTTTGAGAATTTCAGGGAAGAACGAAGAAGATCAATGCAGGAGAATGAGCAGAATACATGAATCAGTAGATTAAAAGAGAAGAGGTTGAGTTATGCCAACAGAATGTCTCAACATCTTTATGTAATAAGTCAAACGAAAAATTTGCTTACAAAACAACAAGATATGAGACAACCGACAGAGATTTGAGTAGAAACTGATGCCGAGATAGAATTCATGGGCCACTGGATCGGGTCCCAGTGGCTTAATGGTATACAAGCTGGCTTTGTAACCAGAAGGTCCTGGATTCAAACCATGGCGGTGGGTGTGTACTGCTGAAGAGTCCCAAACTAGGCTGACGAGAGAGCTGTCCAGTGCTCCAGCGGTGGTTTTCCAGTGGTTCTCTAACTAATATCAGCTCATGATGAAATCCTGTAAACCAATAAAATCCCTACAAACCAACACTTGAATAGGAGATATTAGTTGTACTCTTTCTCTCTCTCCCTCTGTCTGTGTGTCTCTATCACAGTGCCGTTGATATTACAAAAATTTAAGGGACAGAATCAGTCAGGTTACTTTAGTGTTTTTCGTATCTGACATCTGACATTTAGATGGATTCAGTTTAATACCATTTAGTTGATAACACTTTTTAATTTCAGACAACAATCTTTTCATATAAGAACAATCCAATGCAGAAATTACTGGGATAGAAATTGTTAAGTCATCAGCATATTTTATGAAATTAGCTTTACGGTAGGTTAAGCAAAAGGAAAGAGAAAAGATATGGTGAAGTGTATAGCACCTAGAGGCACACTAGCCTCTACAAGCGAAAAGAATGGTGCACTTTCCCCTGAAAACAGTAAACTGTCTCCTGTCTGAAATAAATAAAAGGAAGACAGATAACTTTTGACCCAGGACTTAGCGCGTGCTGAAATCAGCTTGCCTAGTAAAAGTGCCCGAGGAATAGAATCAAAAGTAGCGGTTACTAATATTCAGCCTCTGGATTTCCGATTTGAATCTTGCTTCATCTGTGGTGACACCTATCTGCAGGCCTAAATTGTAGACAACAATTGACGTCAGTGTTTACGTCCCAAATCAATGTCATGAGGGACTCACCAACCAATCACAACAGACTTAACGTGTGCAAATACGATTCGCAGATATATATGGCTCATTTTTCTAAGAAACAGTCACAAACAGTACAGAATAACCTTCAGCAAGAAAATGACCAATCAGAAGACGTTGCTTTTCCACTGACAATAATGTAGATAAAAATCTATAAATATCTATTGATTTACTCAATAAACGAAATGTTGCCTGGCCCTTGTCTTCTGTTGTAACACGTCTACTTTATTTTTTTTAGATGCCTTTTTGAAATTTGGCGACTTGATGTGATACGTGCCTGTGAAACTTTCTACATTTTTAAGTAAATTAGTCATTGGATTGCTTAGTAATCAGCAATACTTCTTTTACTATATAAAAGTGCATAAAAGTGGTTCACCGATTCGGCCAGTATTTTAGATGTGTCTGATTCCCCGTATTATGCAATAGCCAAACGTTTCTTGAAGCTCTTCAAACTTTTGCACAACTAATTCATCAAGGATGATGTGAAAAATACTTTTCAGGAGTTGGTTTGTAAGGATTAAATTTATTTTTATGAGTTTTACCACGGATTGATATTAGTTAAAGAACCATTGAAAACCAGCACCGGGAATCATCGGAAGTATGCACACACCACAAAGGTTAGAACCCATGGCCTTCCGGTCACAAGACAAGCTCAGGCAACATTCAGTCACTGGGACCCGATTCAGTAGACAGCCCATGAATTCTAACTTCTACCAATTCGTGATTTAGCGCGACTGGCACTAACCAATGTCATCGGTGGGACATCCATCCTCACACTTGACTGGTTGGACCTCACTGGACCTCACTGCCGATGATTCCCAAACTAGGCGGATGAAACAGCTGTCCAGTACCCTCTGAGGCTGGTTTTCAATGCTTCTCTAGCTGATATCGATCCGTCGTCAAACTCGTAAAAATAGTTTTGAATTCGTCGAAAGAATAAGAGATGTAAATGTGAATGAAAAGTTCGCAATATTTTTTGATGTATCCTCCTTGTTCTCTAATGTACCGTTGACTGAGATTGTGGATTTTGTATGTGACGAAATTATTAAGCGAGATATCGACACCTCTATTTCTGTATGCTCCATGGTGAAACATATTTTAAGATGTACGATGAATGTTCTTTTCTTGTTCAACAGGGAATATTATAGATGAACTGATGGCGTGAGTATGAGTCCCTCATTAGGTGAAATTCTACCTGATGTTTTCGTCTTTATGTTACAGAATGGACTACTGAAAGAAGCAGTTAATGGGTTGGAATTCTACTGCCGATATGTGGATGATACACTTCTGATTATGAAAGACGAGAATGAAGCAACGGACATCCTCGACAAGTTCAGTGATGCGCATTCAGCAATAAACTTTACCAAATAGAAAGAAAGAAATGAATGAATGTATCTTATTCCTGGATGTCTTTCTAACCAGGAAAGAGGTTTGTGTGTACAGGAAGGACAAAGTAAAAAGACAAATAAGAAAATTCTTTTTTTTTTTGAGTTTCATACCTTTGAAATATAAATACAACTTCGTTACGTGTTTGGTTCATAGGACTAGGATAATCTACTCAAACGACTCTCTTAATGAGTAGCTTAAGATTTATCAGAGATAAACTCACTGGGAAAAATATGAACTTAGCACTAATAGCTAGTAAGGCAACAGCTATAAAAAAGTAGTTGTTTGTAAAACTGCAGTTCCTCGGTGATAACACCGGTGAAATAGTAAAACAGCGGCTGAAGAACTTAGTTAAGAGAGCTTTAAGTGCAGCAGATGTACTTTGTCTCTTCACTATCACATCTATTACACGTTGCATAAATAAGGACAAACTGCCTAATTTCGCCTTCTCTATGTTCATATCCCAGTTTGATTGCAGCTGCGGTGCATTCTCTTCTCCCAAAACTCTATGAATACTGACATGAAGTTAAAGTTTTATATAATATAGCAAAAATCTCCATTTACGGATTTAGTATGCTAAAGGATTGAGCGAAGAAATATTTACTTTTCAATAAGACCCTCATCCCTGGCTCTGATCTATTATATACATATAATTAAAGGATAGAGATTGTTACGACAAGTGGGTTGTGTAATGCGTCATTTGTGAAAAAATAAAGAGTAATTAAGTAATAAGTGATTATATAATGGGCGGTTAAGGACGTAGTAGTCATAAGAATAAAATGATTTAGATAATGACAACTTGTAAAAGGAGGGCAAAAGAGTCAAACTTTTACATTCATGCAATGATAGCCAATGTGAGGAAAGTGGTTGCGTGAATTCCCCCTGTAAACCCAAAGGTTTGGCTTCTTAAAGAAGATTCCAATGTCTTCAGTTGCATGCAGAAGACGAGGTCGTAAGGCAAAATTAAGATTAGTTGGAATGCGACAAATAACTTTAAATTCGGCTTTATACTCACTGTCTACAAGGTGTGCAAAAACACAGCGAGATAAGAATAGATCTCATCTGTCCCTTGTTTAATCATGCAATACGATATTCAAAAATCCGATAATGAACTTGCCTGATCGTATGCCCAGATCATCAATAAAATGTTGGTGGAGATTTGTAGATGGCACGTTAGTAATAATGAAAAAGAATGATATTGTGAAATTCTTTCCAGTAAAAATCAATAAAAATTTACTACGGAAATAGAGAATGCAACTAGGAAACTATCTATATTCGACTATAAAGTACAAAGAATAATAGATGGCAGTATGAAAGCGATGATACATACAGGAGAATTACACATTCTGGGGGATTCCTTGATTATCTATCACTCAGTTCATCCACTCAAAGTAAAACGAGGATTAATACAAGGTCTTGTAGATAGAATACGTAGACTTACAGCAACACCAGATGACCAGTGAAAAGAAATAAACGTCTTATTCAAGATGTTACTCGACAGCAACTACCCAAAAGAATTTATCAGAGACAGTATAAAGAAGAGAAAAAAAAGGGGTGAAACCAAGTAATGGCGAGAAGGAGGAAGACAATACCATACAAAAATAGTACATCACAAGGAATACTAAGAAACCTCAAAGATATTGCTATTTGCACCACGTTTAAACCCACCAAATCTAATTAAAAATAAGATAAATCAACTGAAAGATCCAATAACAATGATGGATAAAAACACTGCAGTTTACAAAATATCTTGTACCCATTGTCCAACTAAATATGCGAGTGAAACGTCCAGATCACTCAAAATAAGAGTGAATGAACATAAACGCTTGCCTAACTAAAGATCAACCAACAGGAACACAAGTTTACAACAGTTTAGAAGAAAAAAAATCCGCTATAGCTACACATGTATGGGAAAAAGCCACAATATTGACTGGAACAATGTTTGCATTCTCAAATCTAGCATGAACAAATTGAAAGAGAGACTAATAACAGAATTTATATTCATTAAGGTTACGCCCAGTGCATGTAAAAAGGGTGACTTAGCAGCACAACTGTCAATAACCTGGAATATAGTTCTGGATACATAAAAATGAACTATATATATATATATAGTTCAAGACATATAGACAAGACGGAGGTTATGAAAATAACCAACCAACAACAACAACAGCAGTGACATCCAGCGTCAATCACCATCAACGGAAGGGATTTGAAAGAGGTCACTTCATTCAACCACTTATCTAGGGAGCATTGTCTCAACTACACGCAGTCAGAACGGACGAGGATGTCAAGTCGAGCGAGAATCGGGAAGGCGAGAAACATGTTGTTCATCAACCTGAAACCAATCTGGAAGGAAATCTTCGTCACTCAGCCAGCATCAACAACAAAATTCGGTAGGATTTTCAATACAAACGTCAAGTCAGTGAGTTCTTCTATACGGATCAGAAACTTGGCTGGGGGTCACAAAGAATATTTCCAACAGCCTGTTGCAGACCAGACCTTTATCAACAACAACTGTCTTCGCTGGCTCTATACTGAAGATCAGATGGCCGGGCCGGGCCGGGCCGGAAAGAATCACCAACAAGAAACTATGGGAACAAACAAACAAAACAAGAACCAATCGCCAACCAATAAATATGCAGGAGAAAGTGGAGGTGGATTGGACACTCACTCGCTGAGGAGGCCGGGCCGCTGGGTGACATCATTCGCGCGTCAGGCCATTGCTCGAGTGGAACTAGGCCGAAAGGGAGGCGGCGAGTGGGACGTCAGTGGAAGGGTGACATGGAGGAGATCGTGTGAAGAGTAGTTGAAAGAGTATGGACTAACTAACATGGATGCAGGTGAAAAGTACAGCAGAAGGAAGACAGAAGTGGCAAGTGTAGGTGTGCAGTTGAAGCCCTATGTTCCACTAGGAACTCAAGGGAACAATAATAATAATAATAGATATATATATATATATATACATTCAAGTACTGGTTTTGTAGTGATTGTGTTTGATTCGTTGGGAGGTTTTTCATGAGCTGACATCACTTAGAGAACCTTTAGAAAACCTGGGAGTACTGGACAGCTGTTTCGTCCTAGTTTTGGACTCTTCACAGTACGCACCAACTGCCAGGCTTAGAACCCAGGACCTTCTATATATATATATATATATATATATAATTACAAATCACAAAGATGTGAATTAAATAAGCACACTTCCAACAGCTGGTGTGATCGCGGGTAGTAATTTTGTTCGAAATATTACCGAAACAAAAGATGTATTTAATTAAATTTAAATTATTGAAAAATATAATGATAATTAATCCAACTATAACTTACTCTTAATCTTGCCCAATTCACAAGATATTTAGCTCTGACTAACGATTCATTGATACCACTTAAAAGGAAATCATTTTTCAGTGATGCAGTTGAATTAGCAGAAGTAGAAATAGGATTTGTCTTTGTTGTTGACCATGATGCCATTGATAAGGAACGAGATCGCCAACCAGTAGAAGATGTATCATTACCAATAGATTGTAAGTGTGCTTCTTGATGACAGCGTATATGTACATAACAGTCTGAGTTCAATTCACTGTTTTGCAGAACTACTTCAGTTTTCCTTTCAACTTCTGTTCAGATAACAAATGGAAACTATAAATTAGTTGGTGGATTTCATCATCAGCTGACATCGGTTAGAGAACCAGTGGAAAACCTAGAAGTACTGGACAGATGTTTCTTCAGCAGTGTCCACCCACTGCCAGGATTCGAACTCAGGCAATTTCATAGATCATTAGGCCACTGGGACCTGATCAAGTGGCATATGAATTCCAACCTCTGCCCATTCACGGCATAGTGGGAGAACTCAGCAATATCTTCGGTGAGTAAGTGTCCTCACCTCCGACCTACTGTACCCTGCTGGTGGGTACATATCACCCCAAGTGGAATTAGATTACGAAATAGTAAGTGTTTGTATAAAGCTAAACTTCGTCACAAAACTATATCACCTATGGAATTATTTACAAGAGAGGAATCATTGAACACATGCTGGCAAAGCTATACTACAACGATTCATGGAACTCGAACATGAGTGATCTTCAGCCGACCAATCGAAAAACCAGTGGGTTTTGCATAAAAATGACATTTATGCACAACAGAAATAGATGAAATGACTCAAAAAGAACTCATAATTATAATGAGGCGTATTAGTTTTTAAGATAAACCTTTTTGTATACACATATTCATCAAGATGGCTGACAATGATTTATTTTTGTGACCCGCTTATTGCTTTTATTCTGTTATTCAGTCTTCCACAGAAGCTCATGAATGAATTAGTAGGAGTCCTAGTAAGGGAGTCGACTAAATCATCAGAATGATTCACTTGATGGTGGATGGCGATTGGACCCCGTCAGGAATGACTAATCTATGGATGCTCTGTAGAAAGTGTAGACACTACGATTGGGAATTACTTCCACGATTCATTTCTGAATTTTTGGTTCGAAAGTTCTCAAAACTTCATGATTATTTGCCCTCCTGGTAGATAAGTGACGATGTTCATCCTCCAGAACACCATATCTTTATAGTGTTGGAATCACTGTGGAATTTTTCTTCTGTACAGCCGTTGATCTCAGATCAGTTTTTGATATCCAATAATGACGGTTAAAAAGTATATTTGTCAGAAACAGTTTTGATTTAGAAAATAATGGACTGAGTGTATAAATTGGCGTTACTAAGACTTATTCCTTTCCTACACTGTGTGCACTAAAATACATGTCTACCACTTACATCTGAACCCAAGACCTTCTGGTTACAAAGCGAGCTCGTATACCATTAAGCCACTGGGACCCGATCCAATGGTCCTTGAATTCTAACTTCTGCCAATTCACGACATAGCACAACCGCTAGCCAATGTCTTCGGCGAGTATTTGTCCTCACACCCGACCGGCTGCACCCTACTGGTCACGACTTCCCACTGGAACCCAGGTAACTACCTACCTGAATAGGGCCAGTCGCAAGTGAGCATCTCATTGGTATTCAATTGGTTCTCTAACTAATGTCAGCTCATGATGAAATCCTGAAACCAATCAAATCCCTACAAACCATCACTTGAATACCAATGAGATGCTCACTGGTGACTGGCCCTATTCAGGTAGGTAGTTACCTGGGTTCCAGTGGGAAGTCGTGACCAGTAGGGTGCAGCCGGTCGGGTGTGAGGACAAATACTCGCCGAAGACATTGGCTAGCGGTTGTGCTATGTCGTGAATTGGCAGAAGTTAGAATTCAAGGACCATTGGATCGGGTCCCAGTGGCTTAATGGTATACGAGCTCGCTTTGTAACCAGAAGGTCCTGGGTTCGAACCATGGCAGTGGGTGCGCACTGATGAAGAGTCCCAAACTAGGCTGACGAGAGGGCTGTCTAGTACTCCCAGGTGGTTTTTCAATGGTTCTCTAACTAATGTCAGCTCATGATGAAATCCTGAAAATTAAAATTGGTTAAGGTTATTTTAACTAAACAGGTGAAGATTGGTTGTTGGAGTTATGTAATACAAAATCAGTCAAGAAAATTAGGTGTTAAGGAAATTAGGGTAGTAACAAAGGTGATGAGTTGTCGCAGGCACTTGTTAAAAAAGAAGTTATGTAATAATATGGACAGCTTGACGGTTGATTTTTACTCAGGATACCAATTGTAATTTTGTTTGACAAACTTAATGTACACACACATACAAAATAACGCATATATATTTGCGACTGTACAGCTAAGAGAATGAATTCGCCACCGAGAAGAGACTCTTCGCTGAACTACACGTTTTGTTTTTATCAGAGTTACGTAATGAGGTGAATAACTTAATGAGCGAGTTGTAATGATAAACCACCTACAAACGAAGGAAAATATAGAGTCATGTAAGAGTTCTAAGGAATGACAACAGTTATGGAGAGTTAGAAACACAGGTATATAAAAATCAAGTGAGCGGAAATCCACAAGGTCGATACCATGATAGCAGAAGTGGTTGAATAATTTTTTTTTGCGAGGGCTTCTGTAGTACAGAGAAGTCGGAAACATACTGCTTTTAGTTTCTTTTGTATACATAGTTCTGGTTTTGTATATGAATGACTAGAGCTTCAGCTATGCAAAGGAGAAGGAAGCGTACTCCCTTTGCCGGGTTCTTTTTCATTTTGTAGATTACTTTGAAGGAGGAGTTTGTTGAAATGTAGCGACCAGTGTTGACAAGGTGTCCGATTGTCCAACTCCTTATAGAACAACTACCACCTTTCCACAACCAAGGGGGATAGTACTGTTGCCTTTTTAAAGAGAGGATATGCGTCGAAAGATCAACACACTCTGTTTTGCAGGAAAAGTAGTCAGATGCGAAATCTTGTCCTTAAGACTTTGGAGATCAATGAACGACTGGCGTTTTCTCTAAGAAATCAACGCCTCATATTCGCTAATGCTGACAACTACGATAATGACAACTTATCACTTTTGTTACTACCCTGTTTCGTAGAGAATTTGTGTACGAATGCGATTGTACAGCTCAGTGGCAGAATTCGCCGAAAAGAAACTGTTACCTGAACTAATTGTTTTGTTTTTATTAACTAAAACTCAGCTCACTATTCATTATTATCTGATTACAGTTCTATTAAGAAATTATAAATGTGAGAGTTCACCGAATTGGTTATTGTGAGTACAAAGGTAAGGCGATTGCCTTATAACATAAATGTCCTGTATTCGATTCAAGATGGTGTAACGAATGCGTCTTTTAGGACAGTTCCTAAACTAAGTCACAACAGTTGTCCATTCCCCCTTGCTCTTCAAAGTTTCTCTCTAAAAGGTGTCAGTTAGTAAGAAAATCTACGTTATAACTTAATAAATTCCCAAACATCAAGGCTAGAAAATTAATTTTAAGCTTGACAATCAAACGATAGATATTCTGAGGTTAAATTCTGCAAATTGTGCTATTCAAGCAAAATATCAGTATTGACTGCCTATACGATTATATGAGTAAAACCCCTTAGCCCAGTCCTGTAGTTTGATGCATTTCTACATGATTCAGTTTTTCAAATACAGCAAGTACTACAGTTTGTGCAGAATAAATCAATAGTACAATTTGTTTCATCGAATTCTCGTCAGATGCGTACAGCCTGAAGAAGTCAATAAGTTTATAATACACAACAATTTCAACATACTTGCAAATGTTATATGTTGTCAGTTAATGACGGGAGACTCTGAACTTAATATACATTGCTCGAAAATTACACTTATATCGTTTATGTCAAGAAAGTTTGAGTTTAAACAAAAAATAAATTTCAGTTAGAGAACCCTTGAAAACCAGAGGGTGGTACTAGACATCTCTTTTGTCAGCATAGTTTGGGATTTATCGAAAGTGTGTACCCACCGGGATTGAAACACAAGACCCTCCGGTTACAGGACAAGCTCACAGACCATTTAGCCACTGAAGCTCAACTCATTGGTCAGCCCAGTTTGTGATTTTAGCGCGACCTCCAGCTGCTAATGTCATTGGTATTTATTTGTTCTCACTTCCGACCAGTACTCCTTGGTATTCGCTGGTTTCCTAACCGATGGTAATCCATGATCAGACTTGAGACAAAAAATAAAGGCTTGGATACGATGAAAAAAGTGTTACATAATGAAGACATAGATGCGTAAGCTGATGAGTAACTAATGACCTGAGTAACAATTTGCTGAATTCAACTTAAATCATAGAAACATGAGACAAGTAAAGTTACACTCCAGAGATTGGGGCAAGGGTCAAAACCAAAGACTATGTAATCAAATGAAAGACAGAGAGAGAGAGAGTAAAGAATTTTCACTGTCATACAATGTGTCCTTCCTTGTAACTATCAATCAATAAAATACTCAACGATGTGATTATACATGTGGCTGAACTTACCAGAGTGGAAATTTAATTCACTATCCACTGGTAACGATTCACTAGTTCCACTTGTTTTTCTTTCAGATGTAGAAGTTATCTGCATAGATTCATGAGGATGTATTTTGTCTGCCTCAGATTTAGTTTCAATTCTTTCTGTATTTGGGGCAGATAATTCTAATTCAGATAAACGAAATGATGATGAACTTGTAACTTCTTTACGATTCAAAAATTTCAAAAGTAAACATCTTATTCGGTGGGCATCAGTTAGCCAGGATTTCAGTTCAGCTTGACGTCGATTCTGATCGTCAAATAATGTGATTCCAGGTAAGATAAAGCTTTGAGAAGGAAATATGTAGAATTAGAAATGTTTAATTTTTCTTAAACTTAAATATTTGGTAAGAAGTTATTTGAAGAGAGATGTATAGACACCCAGTAATTGATTTTCACGCTACATTGAAAAGTTTATTTTGACTGGAAACTAGATAGTTTGTAGTGTAATGGTTCCAGTCCTTTGTTTCGTGCAGACTGAATTCTATCAGTCACGTTGGCAATGCGGCCACCATTCTAGGTTGTTCTTCATCATGGGGCACTTTGAATAGTTGACATTAGATAGTTGGAAGGAAAGTGAGTTGCTCCAAGGTTGCAGATACGCATGGCTTATTGATGAGCGCCAACTAGCATCAAAACCTAGGTACAAGGCCTCCAACCGATTGCCTCTAAACATATAATATCAACTGAAAAGTTTATCTTTCGTGCGAAAGACTTCTGTAGGTCTGGATGGCTTGTTTTTGATCCAGGCTTTGAGATAATTGTAAGAGGTTACGGTGTCACTTCAAATGCCACAATTTTCCACTTTCAATTCTTCAGTAAATAAGCGTATATGGGTTCTTCCTAGTTTAAATCAGATTGTTGTATCCGTGAAATCTATTATATCTGCAACATGCTTATAATTCATGCAAATATACACGGATTTCTTCGTATGGGCTCCTGTATATTCTAAATTAAATGCGGTGGCATCCACCATGTATAAGGGAGATGAATGCTCATCTAGAGAAGTGATGATGGCAGAGCTATTGGTTGAAAAGCTTGAGCTTAATGGTTAATCAGTTTTAGATCAAGTAGCTAGGTGTTCCAGAAAAACAGAACCAGATTTCAGAACGAAACTCCCACCGAATAGTAAAAGAATGAGGTCGGAACGAATCAATAAAATTGTCAGTAACGACAGAGCTAAAATATTGAGAGAAATAATAAACACAAAATTGCACTAGTCCGAACTCTACATCAAAATAACCGTAAATCAAAAAACATTCGACAGCGCTGACGATGAGGTAATTAAGAAAACACTTGAAAACAACATAAACAGTCCCCCAAAACTACATCAACCCAATTCAACAGATATGCGACAAGGCAACATGCAAGTCATCCACAGAAGAAAATTCAGTGAAGCCGCCCAACGGAGTCAAGACACGAGTATAACGAGCCTGTCTGTCTACTATCACACACAATCGTACTCCTTACTGTAGTACTATGAATTATGCAGAAGATCGTGCAGTGAGAGGACAGAGAAGACGTGAATACATTACACCGATAAGAAGACTCTGCAACATCTGGATTTTGCGGTGCACTTATCTCTAGTGTTGCATTAATCAGAAAATGACTTACAGACGAAAACCAACAAGTTGGAAGAAGCAGCACCGAAGACAGCACTCCAAATGTGTATACGGATGAGGTGGTCGAGGTGATGAGAATAACTAACCAACCAACCAATAACAACAATCACCAATCACCATCAACGGGGGAAATTAAAAGAGGTCACTTCCTCCACTGACCCCGCTAGAAATCATCGTTTCAACTACACGTGACAACACGGATGAGAATGTGAAAACCACCCAGGATCGGAAAGGAAAGACAAACCTTCATCACTGTGAAGTCAGTTTGAAAATCTTCTGCGGTAAGCATAAACAGCAGAGTTGAGGTTATTAATACCAATGTGAAGTCAGTCGGTTATTCTATGTAAGTCACAACTTACCATGAGCATCTCTGAAAGCATTTCCAACAGGTCACCGCAGACCTTCATCAGCAGCCACCTCCTCCTCTGACTCCATATTGGAGATCAAATGGCCAGCCAGAAAGAATTATCAGCCATGCACTGTGGGAATGAATCAACAAGCCAGAACCTATTGCTCAAGAAATATTCCTAAGAAAGTCGAGATGAGTCAGACACAGAATAAGGCGACCACTTGGTGACATCGCGCACGACACCATCACTCAAGTGGATTCCTAGTGGGATACGATCACTTTGGAGTGGGTGTGAGGGTTTCTTGGAGGGAATGGTGTGAGAAGGAGATGAGAGAAAATGCTGAGTCATGGGTCAGCTAAAGGGGACCTCAGAGAAAATGACAAAGTGAAGATGTGCTGTTGTAGCTTTTTTTTCTACTTGGAATTCGAGGGAATAATAAATAACGTAAAATAAAATGACATTTTATGTTACATCGTGTGCGTTAATTCAACTGATTCGTATTTATGGGAAGTTGTAGTTTATTGGTCTAGAATCTGACTTGTAATTACGGGTTTGCTGATTATTACTATGCTGAAACAATTGGGTTTTGAACAGCTGGATAACATGAATACGTCTCCTACAATAGGTTTACTTTATTGCCAATTGCATGAGTCGTTGTTGAATACCATTTCATTTGCTAAGAGTATAGTCTTTGCTTGATTTGAATGAATAGCATATTTTTAATTTTGACGATGGAATGATGTCATTTTGAGAACCATTGAAACACTGCGTACTGCTGATAATTCCTAAACTAGGGGACCGAGACAGCTATCCAGTACCCCTTGGTGGATTTAAATGCTCTCCAGCTGACACCAATCCATGCTCAAACTTAAAACAAGTCAAATTGTAACAACAGAAGCCAAGGGCCAGGCAACAGATCGTTTATTAAAGAAATCAACACGTATTTATAGAATTTCATGTACATTATGATAGATTATTGTTAGCAGAAAAACACAGTCTTCTGATTGCTTGATTCTTTCAGACACTTGACCTTGCATCTCTTTGTGGCTGTTTCTTGCCTGTCAGACCACATATATGCGCACTGTATCCGCCTGCACAAAGCCTTTGTTCTCATTTTTCTCACGACCAATATTGGGGACATAAACATACTATCACCAATGATCTTCCTGATTGCAGTAGATTGGATAATGCGACAGACAACGGCAACCAACGAGGGAACAGGCATAAAATGGACTCACACAAAAAGCTTGGAGGATATGGACTTCGCCGGTGATTATATATGTCTGATTTCCCACAAAATGCAAGATATGCAAGTGAAAAGCAACAAGCTGGCCGAAGAAGCATCCAGAGAAGATAGGACTTCAAGTGAACATAGATAAAACAGAGGTGATGAAGATTCCTGGCCAACACTGACAGCCACAGCAACAACAACAGACAACAATCAGCCAGCGTAAATGGGAGGAACCTGAAAGAAACAACCTCCTTTACCTACCTACCTGGGAAGCATCGTTTCAACTACAGGCGAAACTGACGAGGATATCAAAGCCAGAATCGGAAAAGCAAGGCAAGCTTTCATTACTCTCAAATCTGTGTGGAGGTCAACAGCACTACTCACCATCAAAAATAACATCCGGATTTTCAACTCCAATGTGAAGTCAGTCGGTGGTACTATACGGATCAGAGACTTGGCCAGCGCGTTATAAAGAGCATCTCAAACAAACTTCAGACATTCATTAACAGTTGTCTTCGCTCATTACACTCAAGATCAGATGGCCGGTCAGAAAAGATCAGCAACAGGGATCTCTGGCAATGGGCGAACCAACCTAGCAGGAATCGATTGTGAAACAAATAGGCAGGGAGGAATGGAGATGGATTGGGTGGTCATACTATGAGGAAACCATCAAGTGACATCACTAGACAAGCCACTGCTCGAGTGGAACCCGACAGAAAGGGAAGCGGTGAGTTGGTCGTCAGAGCGAGGGTGACTTGGAGGAGGTGATGTGAAGAGGAGATGAAAGCATGTGGGCAGACTTGGAGCGGGGTGACAAATTTGGCAGAAAACCGAAGGCAATTGAGACGCGCAGCTGAAGCCCTATGTTCCTCTAGGAACTAAAGGATACAGTAATAATATAATAATAAACATTGATGTAAATTACTGCCAACCAATTTTGACTAACAGCCATCTCTCACCACAAAATCTCTACAAACGAACTCTTGACAAACACATTTTTAGTATAAACATTTTAAATAGTTTAAAACTTGGACGTGGTTTCCCACTGGCTGAGGGTTTAACACCTTCGCCTTTTAACCAGGAAGTTATGAGTTAGATGCATGACAGAATCATAAGTGTATACTGCTGGAAAATCTCGAATTAGGATTTCAGAAATAGTCAGTATTCAGAAAAATCACTATCTTTGTAAACCGTATATATATATATTCTTACCTTACTGGTTGCAGATACAATATGTCTGGATGGGAATTAGACTCTTGACGATACCATTTATCCAAGATATCTGGATTTAGAGTTCTTATAATTTCACTTTTATGTCGTATTGCATCTTCAACCTGTGTCAGTTGTACTGGTGTTATGTTTGACACTTTCAGAGGAATTCTACTGTTTGCATTGATTCATTTATTGATGGCATATAAGGCTATCAGAAAACAAAAACAGTTCATGTAAATACTAATTGTTCAATGTATGTTGTAACATTGTGGAGGACATTGTATAAATCATCCGTATCTCGGGATGCAACAATTTACATTTTTGTTGATTTGTTCAAACAAAAAGAGATACTGGGTTTAAATTCATCGTTACTGAGTAACCTACATCCAGTCAAAATTAATAAAATTTGGATTGCCTTAATGTGTCACATTGTTTTATTTTATGTGAATTATCAAATTCTTATAGACTGCAGACTTTCATCAAGAGCTGTTTTTACTCCATGCCGAGGATCATTTGGGCTACCAGAAAGGATAAAAAACCAGAAATTCTAACGATGAACCAGCAAACTATCTATTACCAAGTGAATAAACAGGAAGAAATGAGAGGGTCTGGAGGAGACTTTCATGTGGTCCTCGAGTGTAACCCGAATGGAAGGCTACGAATTAGGTGTGGGTCCAGAGGTGACACGAAGGAGTCAATATGTAGAGGAAATGAATATTTGTGAGCAGTTTTCGTGAAGCATAGAACTCAGTACAATGAAGTTTTACTCTGAGACCCCGCAATGAATAATAATAATAATACGATAATGAGATCCTCTCAAATAATTCTTCTTGGAAAGATCAAATTTCACCGACCAAGATGGTACTGCCATCAGTTTGCTGAAGATGTAGCATTGGTAAAGTGACAGTTATATCGCATACAATTCTGAGACGTTGCTTCTTCCTTCTTCTCTCAGTCATCTCATTTATTATACTATGTATCATTCCCTTGAATTCCAAGTGGAACACAGGGCTGCAACAACACATCTTCACTCTATCATGTTCTCTACAGTCCTCTTTGACTGGCCAATGACTCACCATAGTCTCTCATTTGCTTTTCACACCATCCCCTCTAGGCCAGCCTCACACACACTCCAAACTTGTCGTATACCATTTGGGATCAACTCGAGTGATGATCTGGCGTGTGATGTCACCAAGTGGTCTCCTCACTCTGTGTCTGATTCATCTCCATTTCCTTGGGAATATTTCTTGAGCAATAGGTCCTGAGTTGTTGGTTCCATCCCACAGTCCCTGGTTGATCGATACAGAGGAACTTACTGAATTGACATTGGTATTAATAACCTCAATTCTGCTGTTTATGCTTAACGCAGAAGATTTTTAAACTGACTTCACAGTGATGAAGGTTTGTATTTCCTTTCCGATCCTGGGTGGTTTTCACATTCTCATCCGTGTTGTCACGTGTAGTTGAAACGATGCTTCCTAGCGGGGTAAGTGGAGGAAGTGACCTCTTTTAATTTCCCCCGTTGATGGTGATTGGTGATTGTTGTTATTGGTTGGTTGGTTGGTTGGTTGTTTATTCTCTTCACCTCGACCACCTCATCTCTATGTCCATGTGGAGTCCAGTCTTTGCTGATGCTTCTTCCAACTTGTTGGTTTTCGTCTGTAAGTCATTTTCTGATTAATGCAACACTAGAGATAAGTGCACCGCAAAATCCAGATGTTGCAGAGTCTTCTTAATGTATTCACGTCTTCTCTGTCCTCTCACTGCACGGTCTTCTGCATAATTCATAGTACTACAATTAGGAGTATGATTGTGGGTGATAGTAGGCAGACAGCCTCTTCATACTCGTGTGTTCACTTCGATAGGCGGCTTCACTGATTTTTCTTCTGTGTATGACTTGCATGTTGCCTTGTCGCATATCTGTTGAATTGGGTTGGTATAATTTTACATGTACTACGCTATGTTGTGTTGAAGTGTTTTCTAAATTACTTCATCGTCAGCGCTGTCGAATGCCTTTCCAATGTTGCTGAGTTTGAGTTGAAATTGTGACTTCTATCTAGTGCTCTGCTGGGTGATGGCGCGTGGGACTGCTACGTGATCTGCACATGTGTTAAGTTTCGTCATCCATCTGTCATGGATTTTATTTCGCATAGAATAAAGTTTCAACTGTCACTATTATTACGTGATTTATTGATGTTCGAAGTATTACGAACTGATCACTATTGATCATCGTGATCATCGGACGACTGGTAATCGCATTTTACACGTAATATTTTTTTAAAAACTTTTGTAAACCAATCCTGAAGGCCTATTTCCGTCTGAACGGACTATTTTTTAGTTGCTTGATACTTTTCATTTTCCGTTATGATGACGTGGCTGATATCTGCGTCCTGTTGCTCAGTCGGTAGAGGATGACACTAGCACTTTGATTACCGCTGAGTGAAATTTTCATATCACCCAAAATTTCATCTAACCTTTTACTCACAACTGATTACCTGAGATGAAGTCTACAAATCCATGTTTACCTCAGATATAGCTTAATCGGTACATTTAATGACAAAGTGAAAGAAAATCTATTTCGTTTTGTTTGTAATAATACTTACTTGTCTGATCACTAATTCTTCTGATTGCGATCTTATAGAATTTTGTGATTCTAAATATCTAGACAGACGACGTTGAAGACGTGGGCTATCAAAACCTGGTAGTTTATCTGACAGCATAGCTATCTCGGATTTTATATCGTCAATTTCTTCTAAAGCAGAATCTTTAATTTGTTTTAATAAGCTATTCGATATACACTCAGGTAATGGCATAATTGGACCAACTGAACGATTCGATAGTAAAATCTGTACAATTAAGAAAACAGTGTACAAATCTGTGTATATAGATATAATGTAAGGTTTATTCTTAAGTTTATTACAATCGCAGCATCAAAAATCTACCACTAAATATTTTGAAAGGTCTTGAAAGTAAAATAAATCGTGTGTTAGAGGTTATTTTTGATTAGTGTCAGTAATTTTAGAAGTTCACTTCTACTTCGTTTTAGGTGAGTATCACTGGAATTGAGAACCTGCTATTCACCCTGATCACCTGAACTTACCTAAGTCCTTGGCTACCAATGGTGTTTCCTTTGAGATTGGAAACCAGCACGTATCGTTCCAAACACCAACATCAACTAAACAATATCATGTGTGATTACGAAATGAATTCAGTTAGAGAGAACCATTGAGGATTAGGGAGTAGTAGACTACGGTTAGGTCATAGTTTGGGACTTTTCAGAAGTTGTCAACTATAACCCTTATGGTAACAGAACCTAAGACCTTCAGCTTATGGGCCAAGCTCGCTATCGGAATCCACTGGCCCACAAACTCTAACTTCTGCCAATCTTTGAGGTAGAGGAGTAAGTTTTCGGTGAGTGTCCGGCCTTTCACAGAACAGAATCCTCCAGTGTATTACCATCTCATATCCTAACGATTTCTAAGAAAGTGTTCCGTCTGGCCTACTGCATTAAAAAAGTTAAACTATCCGGAATCACCCAACCTCTACTTTCACAATTTGTCAACTCTTGTATCTTATATATTCTACTTTACTGATCCCCATTAGCCTTTCCTGGGTTAGTGAAAAAGGACTATACCATCGTGAAAAGGATGTTGAATGTAATTAGTAGGAATAGTGGTATAAAACTTAGTCAGCTTGTCACTACATTAGTAGAAAGGCATCTGAATACATGCGAAAAATGGTCTAAAACCATACTCTCCGACCCTCAACACCCCCTCTATTCCCAAATCTCTCCTTGCATCTCATCAGGTAGAACCAGAAATCCGTACAAAATAATATATGCTCGTATAGGAACTCGACGATATCATATTTGGCCTATGTTCTAAGTGACAGAGACAATGTTAAGCACGTAACCTATGACTGCTTTGTTGTTAATAACATAATTTTCGCCCTTGTTATTCCCCCCTTATACTCTCTTATTTGTACTCTATAGTGAGCACCTTTTTAAACTTAATTAGCTACCTAAATTATTAACATTGGCTCACTTTTTTATTCTTTATTCTATTCCTTCTTTTGGGTATCTACTGGTCCCGACTATATTAGCACTATGAGTATTACAAAATTGTCCTGTCATTAACCATCATGGAGTATTAGTTTTGTGATTGTTTTTTTTTGTTCGGCAATATTAAAACTGACAATCTTGTTTGTGAACGCCACTATCACCATCTTAAAAATTTTGTATTATGCATCATTACTAACACTACCATGACTAACACTGCATTGGTGCTGACAATAAAAAAAACACAACCTGAAATGTTTATTTTATGATTGTTTAGTGTTGTTCAATCAAATTGACTGATCATCTTGGGGATAAACATTCTTAAGAACATTTCATAACTTCTTGTATGATTATAGCTTTACTGTCACCATGCATAAACATATCATAGCTTCCACTACCCAATACTGAGATATTATTTATTATGTTGTTTATTTTCCATCCTACTTCTTGGTATTTTTTCGCATTTTTTGCTGTTTTTTTGTTTTTGTTGTTGTTGTTTTATATATATATTTTTTGAAATACTCCTTTTAAATGTTTGATAAAATTAGATGCAGTATTGCAGATATGTGCTGAAAATTCCACACTGTATCACTAGTACTGTTTCTGGAATAAAGCAAATTATTATTATTATTATTATTATTAAAGGCGTGGTACAACTACGCCAATCAATTTATGCACATAGGATATATACTTAGAAAACTAAATATATTCCTAATTTAACCAATAAAGATGGCAAAGTAGTTGAAAATATACAGACTTGAGGTTATTGGTTCAATAAAATTTCAGCCATTCGCTAATAGCATTTGAGAAGTAATACGTAAAGTGTCTTTGACAATGTCAATATCAAGGCGGACAGTCAATACATATAATATTGACATTCTCCTGAAATTTGCGTGTCATCTTGGTTACTACTAACAAAATAAAAGTAGATAGTGTGTTTACGGGTATTTTCCTCTGCAAACAATAAATACAAATATGTTTCTGTAGCATAATTTTAAAAAGTTGTGAATAATTACTACATCTCTTCAAAATTCCATCTCCAATTCACCAACACTTTCGATATGCAGTGAAGGTCTCCTTCTGAAAGCAGCCTGAGCTATGGGATAAAGTCCACTGTTCAAAATAACGACTACATTTATAAAACTAATAGAGGCAATCATGAGTATATGAAACCAGCTGATTTTGGTCCCTTTTCTTCAACTGAAATTCAGACTTCATTCAACCGATTTCTTTTCATTAGTTTGAACAAAGTGGGAACGAACTTATCTGCAGGATAATGAACTAGTTTAACTTCTTGTATTCAATGGCTACTGCAAACTGAAGTAACCATGGTTTCCTCTGTATATTGATTATTTCGAGAGCCTGACTAATTTCCATTGTCTTTTCCGTGTCAATTTGGTGTCTGGCTATTGCACTTGAGAACACTCTTCTGCCTTCCATAGCATCACATCCAACTTCCCTTCTTCACTAAGATTGCCACCAGGCAAGCGAGGTTTAGAAGCGTGTCAACTTGAGCCCCAACCCTGGATCACATGAGTATTTGGAGAGTATTCTACCTCTGAACCACTGACGCTAGTTGACTGGAAGTAACGGAGAGGAACCTCTGAATGGGGTACCTGCAACCATGAAGGAGTTAATATCCCCTATAAGATTCTAAATTGCATAACCCAGTGGTGTGGTTTGAAGGAATGAACCACTTAGATTTACAAATGAACTGCTCTATGGCGATGGTGAATCACCTAGCTTGATGAACACATTTCAGTAAGCTCTGACACTATTGTGTATTAGATAATATCAATGTGTACTCCTCAGTCTGACAGTCCCGAACTTGATAGCGTTTCTCTGGATATCAGCCAGTGTCTAAGCGAAATGATCTTGCCTAAAATCCTTCTGAGTTTCAGACAGTTAACTTCACCTTAAAGCATAAACGGCATGATCTACACTAACCGGTTCATCGACAAGTTTCTGCTTGCAGCATTGATGACAATGAAATAGAAATTGAGTCAAGCATAAAAGACGTTGGAATAGTTCTGGTCTCTCACCTTTCTTCATCGGTCATCCCATATCTTGTCGATTTCTAAGAAAATGTTCCGTCTAATCTTCTACATTAAGAAGTTAAGGCAATCGGTTATCATGGAATCTCCTAAAAGAGGTAAATCGCGAGCCCGAATAGCTCAGAGGTAACGTCTCTGACTGCAGCACTGACTGATGCCGGTTCAAATCTTAGAAGGGAAATTAGTTCTTTCAAGATTTCAGATACGCCTTGCTGACGAGTGCCAACCAGCACAAAAACTAGGTCCGGGCAAGTCTTCCTGCCGATTGCCTCCAACCATCAAATATCATCAAATGAATGTGTTCCATGATGGCGAGCTACCTAGAATGGTGGCCACATTGCAAACCTGACTGACTGATAGAACTCAGTCTGCACAGAAAAAAGAACTAGACGCATCACACTAGTTACTAGTGTCCAATCAAACTTTTACAGTTTGTTAACTCTTGCATCTTACCTACTGCTCTTTATTGCCCCCCCGTCAGTCTTTCATTGGCTGTGTTATGTTTCAAAGGGTAGTAAAAGTTCTCAGTAGGGCGAGTGGTTTGCCACTAAGTTAATCAGCTCGTTACTCATGGTGTCGACAGACACCTGAACTCGTCTGAGAAATGGACTAATGTTGGTGTTAATGCCGAAAAGTTGCTATTATCAATTTGGTTACCTGTACCCAGTGATATTTTTTTGTTATTGACTAAATTAAATGTACTATTATATCAAACGGTGAGAATTCCATGCTGTTTAGCATAAATACTGTTTTGGAATAAAGCAGATTATTATTATTATTATGAAGTGTCATTTCATTATCCAATGCACTCACTAAATGTGTCATTCAGTCAGCTGACACACCAATCATTATTATCATGATAATTTTATCAAGTTTTTTTAATTATGTCGTCCTCTGACTTTCTTGAACTGAGATGTTTGAATTCTTTTAGTAGCTCTGCCCCTTGTAAAGAAACTTCGACGATTTATTGAGGTTGACTTCATATCATTTAGTTATAGGTTGATATCAGAGAAATCTTGGAGGCTATTTCAGTCTTATTCAGAACTCGTCAGATAAAAAAAACTTGAGTTTTGAAGAGGTGATACAATCCAAGTAACTCGGTGGTGTTTCAAACATCTGGTATTGCTTATGACTCTCACCGAGAAAACTACCATTTACTGAGATGCAGGTTCAACCAGCCGACAGGCATCAGATAGGACGGAACAAGCATCCTAGATTACATTACACTGCTAGCCACTGTTAAACAAACGACATCAAGTTCACCAAAAAGGGTCATTGAAGTTTTCATTCCATGAGTGAGTGAATGTATCAACAGAAACGAAACATTTAAGTCGAGCAAAATCAAACAATACGAAAAGTGTCTGACTGTTAGGCTCTATCATTGACAGTCACCTTTAACAGAATACAAGTTTGATCTTTTTTTATTTCGGCTTGATTCCACACCGTATTTTCGATACAGGTTTGGAATTTTCAGCATGTGATATCGGTAGCCCAAATTTTATAGGCCGACTATAGATATCAGGTGTGCGTCGTAAGGGAATCGAACACCGGACCATGTGCATGATCAGCGAGAGTCATAACTGACGTGCCACCGACGCACAGGGTTAGTTTGTAGAGATTTGATTTGTTCCAAGTTCAGTCATGGATTGATATCAATTTGAGATCTACTCGAAACTACCAAAGAGTACTGAACAGCTAACTGGTTCGTTCCCTTAGTTTGAGACTTATTGTCAGGACCTACCCACCATTCGACCTTCAAGTTACAAGTCGAGTTTGCAGACCGTTCAGTGGCGAGCCAATGAATTCCAGCTCCTGCCAATTTGTGCTATTTTAGCCTGCATACCGGCGCCCACTGCCATCGGTGAGTATTTTTCTTCTATCCCCCGTTAGTCGTGGAGCTTACTGGTGGTTATTCAACAGAACTCCAATAATCGTCATTTCACTTTTTATGCTAGTTGTTTTTCTGTTTTCCAAATAATAATAATCGCCTTAAATCCCAAAATCCATAGTATTGTGGTAAGAACAGGCTGCTAGCCAATTGATAGACATTAATCAACGTCAATGTCTAGGTCACTAATATTGGCCGTGAGAAAATATGAACAAGACTGATTCAACAACCAATCACAGCAGACTTAACGTAGGCAAATATGATTCGCAGATAGATGGCTTAACTTTCTAAGAAACCAGAAACAACCAATCAGAAGACTGTGTATGTCTGCTTGAATACGCTATAATAATGTACATGAAATATATATAAATACGTGTTGATTTTCGTAATAAAAGGATCTGTTTCCGGCCCTTGTCTTCTGTTGTTACAGTATGACTCCAGTCTTTTGTTTAGTAATTATGCTTAGCAAAAAAAGCAACAACACAGGCAGATTTCAAGCAGTTCCTTCATACCTAAATCATTGTCATAAACTTACTAAACAATTGAGAAAGTTCTTTTGTTTAACTCTTCTAGACAAGTGTTGCTTCAATTCAATGTCTTCTGGTAGATCATACGATGTCATCGTCAGCTGATGTCGAGGCTCAATATCAGTATCCATACTGTCATCAATTATATGAAGAGTGAAACCACGTTCATTACACAGACGTTTTAAATAAGGCCAAACATGTACACGTAGTTTGGTAAGTTCAATTCGCATATCTATATATAAAAATTTTGGAAATTAAAAGTTGAAGAAGTTGATTGTGAAAGTTTACTTCTTGATTAGAAAACTTCAATAAGAATATAAATTCTACAAGAATATGGAATTAGCTTGATTGAAATGTATGGTGTAACCACGTTTCAAACCTTTTAGTTTATCAGAGTTACAGATTTGATCATGAGCTGATCATATCAGTCAGAGAACCATTGGAAAACCTGGAAGTTCAGTCCAATTTTGGCACTCTTCAGAAGTACAGAACTACCGGGATTCGGGTCCAAGAACTTCCAGGAACAGGGAGAGCTCTTAGACTATTATATATATATATATATATATATGGCACAATGGTTAGAACTTTCGCCAACCATTCATATGGTCCGGGGTTCAATCCCCTGTCAACATACATGCCTGATATCTATAATCAGCCTGTAAATTTCGGCTATCGATATCACATGCTGAAAATTCAATACTTGTACCAAAAAATATACGGTGTAGAATCCAGCTGTAATCAAAATGAAAACATCGTAGGGTGGAATGAGTGTATGCAGCACTGATGGACGAAAGGGTCCGATTTCACGTCCTAAAAAGCTAGATTACACAGCTCACATTACGCAACGCAATTCCTAGAACGAACTTATCAGAATTATTTAGATTTTTATGGATTTTTTTTTGGAATATTTGTCTGTACAAACCAATGCTTGAAAATTAATCTATCTGGCCACTAGTCACTGCCTACAGGATGAAGTTGCCCTAAATTTTGGTGTAAAATTAGTAAGTAGTGGGGTCTAATTACTTGGGTATTAGGACAAATACTCATCGATAGCTATGGCTTTCAGTGGCATTGTATTTATCGTGAATCAGCAGTTGGAATTCATGAGCCACTGGATAGGGTGTCAGTGGCTGAATGGTCTTCGAGCTCGCCTTATAACTGGGATGTTCTGTGTTCGAACCCTAGAGATTAGTGTTTGCTGTTGAAAAGTTTCAAACTAGAAAAGAACAGTCGTCTAGTACTCTCCGTTGATTTTCAAGGTTTCTTTAACCGATATCAACTAATGATCAAATCTCTAACCAATCAAATACCGTGAAAGTTTGTCAGAGTATTGTATAAAATGAAATGAACTTACCGGCAGTCATGGTTGCTCGAAATAATTAAAGTAATTCAATGTCCTATTAATGAACAATTTCAGGAGGGATTATGTATATATAACTATTAAAATACAGTTTTGGCTAAGTTAAAGGATTAGTAAAAGTACGTGAGGTACATAGATGATCTTCAGGCGGCTAATCAAAACAAATTAGTCTAACTGAATGCGGATGTATATTATATTCATGAAAAGAAGTACAATGCAATAAGGTGCAATAACTTTCTTTTAAATGGATACCTAAACTCTCAGTCTCCAATTGCATCAGCGTTAGGCTATGAATGGTCAGATTTAAAATCGATCAAACAACGTATTAGAACAGGTACTCCATGAAAAAGTTCACCCCAAACCAGATATTCAGTTAACCCTGTCGCAAGGAATGCTGTTATCCCACCCATCTCACTGTCTAACCTCAACTTCTTACAAGTCACTTCTCAAGTGATACAATTATGGCCCATCTCAGCGGATCATGACCAATGTCATGAAAATCCTCACAAATACAAAGCCATCTTGCAAGTGAAATTACCTTCGAAGATGGGAAAGTTCCTACCATAGGCTGGATATAGCATGTTAAATGTCAAGGATACCCATCAGTGGCTCCCTGCTCTCAGACTAGATTGACGGTTCGTGAACTATGGCTCACATCCCAGCTACCGGTAACGCGAATGCCTCCATTTGTAGAGGCAACGGTCATGTATTCCTAAATAGTCTTGTAACACGGAGCTCTTAGGTTTAATCCAAAGTGAGTAGTATCATGCTAGCATACGTCTTAAGAGTCCCAAAAGAAAGGAAAGAAAGTTTTATTACCCCTTGGTTCCTAGTGGTTCCCAAAACTGAAGTCAGTTGGTAATCAATTTTGAAATATACATCAATCTTGGAATCAATGATTCATTGATAAGAAAGTTTCCTCAGTTGCTATGTATTCTTTTGTCGCTGATTCAACAGAGGAATTTCCTTTCTGTATGTATATGAGTACATATATAAATATATATATATATATTATGTATTTAATTTAGAGAAATATATGTAAGTGAGCAATACTGTTTTTAACTAGGTCTCATAACGTTCAACTCTAACTAACATGCATCGCATTACAAATAATTATTAAACATAAACCGATCACTATGATTTGTCATTTGAAAAATAAGGTTGTGCATGTGAATTGAGCAATCAATCATTAGAATAACGATTCTATCAATGAAAAATATGCAAAAGAGTGAAACGATCTGTGATAACAAGAATAATGAAAAAACAGTATTTGACAAAGAACAGACAATAAGCATCCATATGTAAGCTTCGTCATAATTACTAAACGGGAGTCACTTAGTGAAGAGAATAAATCCATTCAAAATGAGGTTCATATCATCCCACTGAATCCTACCGATCGAATTTGTATTCGTCTACTACATACACTTGCGGTGATTAACATAAACTGATGCACTGAAAAGAACATTCACAGACAGACAGACAGACAGACAGACAGACAGACAGACAGACAGACAGACAGACAGACAGACAGACAGACAGACAGACAGACAGACAGACAGACAGACAGACAGATAGATAGATAGATAGATAGATAGATAGATAGATAGATAGATAGATAGATAGATAGATAGATAGATAGATAGATAGATAGATAGATAGATAGATAGATAGATAGATAGATAGATAGATAGATAGATAGATAGATAGATAGATAGATAGATAGATAGATAGATAGATAGATAGATAGATAGATAGATAGATAGATAGATAGATAGATAGATAGATAGATAGATAGATAGATAGATAGATAGATAGATAGATAGATAGATAGATAGATAGATAGATAGATAGATAGATAGATAGATAGATAGATAGATAGATGCCTGTAAATCTTCTTCCTTAAATGCATATCACGTGTTCATATATTTTCAACATTGATCACATCGACTATTCAGTTGGTAATTTTAACGCTTCTATACACAGACACTCACTCACAAATCCCATAATTTCAAATGGTATCAAGTCTTATCTCAATATGTCATCTATTCTGCGAATTCTCACACTTTTTATTCATTATTCAATCAGTCTAATAGCCATTTCTTTCATTATCCCAATAACTACTGGATCTATTAAACAAAAATGCTGTTTAGACAAAAATAATATTTGTAAATATCCAAAAGTATGGTTTACAAATTATACTAATGATAATCCACTGTGTGATTTTATTATACAAGATACTACTGCATTGAAAACTGAACTGATCCCTATCAGAATAGAAGATCCTGATGAGATGGCAGGCAATTATTATTCCTTACTTTTAATCGGTGCCAATATGTTAACAGATGATGAAAAGATAAAGTCTAGACAAAAATATTTCTTAATCATGAGTACTATAAATATAAATTTATCCTGTTTAACTGATACTAAAGAATGCTTCATCCCTATGACATTGAAATTTCATCTACCAGATTGTTCTTCACAGAGAGATTCAGATTATGCAGAATTGTACCTTCTGTTAATTGAACAAATTGACAAGATTTCTTCACGACAAGAAAAAATTTTACATCCCTATACTGAACCAAAAAATCGTTGGGTTGAATGGAATCCATTCAGAGCATATAACATGTTTGTGAATTCTGCTAAGCCTATTCGTGCTAATCGATATATTCTATCTTATTGTAATACAAATTTAAATGATATTCTATTTACTCCTATGGATAATATTCATCTAATTGATAATAAATGTTGGTATGATACAGCAGGATCGAATTATATGATCACTGATGTTACAGTCACTTTTTCAAATTTACACATTTATCCTAAAGATGTTCAAGGTGTTTTAGACAGTTGCTTAATCTATGAAATATATACGTATGATAAGCCTATCTATCATATTAAATCTTATGATATGTACAAAGAGTGTTCATTCAATACAACTCAATGGGTTCAAGATATCATAGATACAGGGGTAGATAAGATATCCGGTGTACGGATAACACATGAGAATTTCAGCATAATATTAAATAAATATGCAAATAAATGGTTTGCTAAATTGCAATTGGAAGCAATGGTATTGAGAAATATTGAGTCCGCAATGGCAAACTATCAGTCTACTGAAAATCGTGGTACTACTTCTACTACTACTGTTCCTGCTCCTGATATTAATAATAATAAAGATAAAGAATCTGATGAAAGTCGGGCATTTGCATTATTCAACAAGTATACACCATTCTGTTTAGCCTTTCGTCAACAGTATAAACATACTCTAAAAGTATTAGCAATAACACAAGCTTATAATGAATTACTGAAAATGCTGCATGTTGATTGGACACCTGAATTGGGTACATACTTGCCTCATTTGGATAAAGAAGAGGGCGGGGAGGGGAGCCAAAAAATAATAACCCCTTAAAAATTATAATTCTATATTAATTCGTTTGTTGAATATATATTATAAAGTGAAACATTATTATTCACTTCGGCGCGACGGGGTGGGGGGTGAAGTAATAGAGTTTCGAACAGAAATCTTTATTGTTCATAATCACAGCATCACTTGTATAAGCTAAAAAAACTTAATTATATTATTGCTCCCATTGGGTTCCTAGTGGAACATAGGTCTTCAACTGCACGTCTCCACTTGCCACTTCAGTCTTCCTTCTGCTGTACTTTTCACCTGCATCCATGTTAGTTAGTCCATACTCTTTCAACTCCTCTTCACATGATCTCCCCCATGTCACCCTTCCACTGAAGTCCCACTCACCGCTTCCCTTTCGGCCAGGTTCCACTCGAGCAATGACCTGACGCACGCACGATGTCACCCAGCGGCCTCCTCAGCGAGCGAGTGTCCAATCCATCTTCACTTTCTCCTGCATATT